GGTCTTAGGGATCTGAGCCACAGTTGCACAGGCACCCCCAGGCTGCAGAGCAAGTGGTGACAGACCCTCCTTAGTAGGGTTGCCAATTTTGGTTGGACATATTCCTGGAGGATTCCCCACATGACATTATCTTTAATTAAAGATTAATCCTTAATTCCTGGAGATTGCAGGACAATCCTGGAGGGTTGGCAACCTTATCCCTTACTGGTCTGGGTGCGCTCCAAAACATCCTAAGGGGCTTAACTGAAAGGCCATTTGCCTAGCTTGCTACAATACAGAACAAAACTTAAGCAATTCATAGCAGTTGAGATGCAACAGTGAAGAAAGGTACAGTACATAAAAGCCTTGACTGTGAAATATACATTTTAATACTCAGTAGATAATTGCAATGTGAGAGTTGCTTTATAGCATAGGGCAGTACTGAATTCCAAATGAGCTTTAAATCCAAACTTCAGCCAGCCTCAGAAATAGGTCTGAAATATCACTGCGGTATATTAGGGCTTGGTGCATTGGCCTTTTGACACTTACCAATCTAACATTGCTCTTAATTCCTTTGGTAAAATGAGTTTGTTCTACAAGATTCCACCCTCCCTGGTCCCACCCCAATTCCAACCTGTGGCTTTATGAGCTTTCATTATATTTGGATTTCACAGCTGCAGCATCAGTGGCTTCCTTCTGTCTTTTAAAGATATTCAGCTGCCTCAGTGTGGGGGCAGTAATGAACGAGCACCATCACCTCCAGAACAACAGACAAAAATAAAAGCTGTGCCTTAAAAATGGAAATAATGTGAGCTGTGGCTAACCTCTATCCTGAATGGAACAGAAGGAAGCAGGCATGCGCTCGTTTCACTAGCTATGGCTTCCTCATCTGGTTGAAGCGGCAGTTTGAGCAAAGCCTTACTGGAGAAAGTGCGAATGGCTGCCACTCGGTGCACTTCTGTAGCAGAAATGAACATCTGCTCCATCATCATCTTGTGCTCCCAGCACATACACCTCCCGGATGTCACCTTTCCTTTCGTCAGCGCCTGAGTGCTGCGGAGCATTCTAGCTTACAGCCGTTTAGACTGTGCCCGTACTGCCCCTGAGTGGACCTACACGTATAATACTGTCCGCTGATTTCAGTGGCCTGGACATAAAACAGCTACCGCATGGCAGCTGCAGCACTGAGCCACAAGAACGTGAAACAATTACACATGTTGCCTGTAGGGTTTCAAAAGCCTGTCACAAGTTGCTGAGCTAACTTATGCCTTCTGATGCTTGGGGCCAACTCCCACTGAAGGTGGTGGGACTCATTTTAGTGCACCTGAGTGCTGAAGAAGGTTAAAAAAAAGTTTAAAGTAGCAGCATGGTCTTCGTCCCTGTTTCTGCGCGTCAAGCTCCCTGCTACTCATCACTAGCAGCCTGACCTTAAGTCAGGTGACTGGCCTGCCGTTGTTACTAGGGATGAGCATTGAATACTCAAGGCTCTGCCCTTCCCAGTTTTCTGTATGAGGCCATCACTGGGGATAAGCATTTATCATTTCAGGCAGTACAGCGTAGTGTGCCTAATTTGGTTAATTTTATTTAAGAGGGTGCTATACACAGGGAAATGCATTTTTACTGTCTTCTCCTTGTTGCTCTTGTAGATCTGAGGCTGCCACCCCTGAGACAGGAACATAACACTCTCTGCATTTGCCGTAATTTATGGCATTATTGTGTTCCCATTATATAATACACTGGCTTGTATATGTGATTGTGTTTCCGCTCTTGAGGTTGATTCCACTGACTATAAACAGCCTGTGTCTTACTTCCAAGGGAAGGAATTCTCTTTTAGCTGACATAACAGGGGCTTATATTTTTGGATACTGCAGGTACCAGCTTGATCAGTGCTGATTACTGAGGTATCTATAGGTAGAGGGCATGGTCTATTAAAAATAGAATTAATTCATAATGGTAAAGAGTATTTGGCTTGATCAATTTTCCATAGTAGTACCTTTTGAGCAGTAAAGCTCCTGTTAACATTTCTCTTCACTATCATTGTTTTATTTGAACTGGTTTACTGGAGGAAGGTTTCCCTTTCATAAACAGGTGGCTTAAGAGGCAAGAAGATTTGTCAAAGCTGCCACAAATGGCAGTGGGAAGTGGCCCAGGCCCAGTGGTGAGCTGGAGCCGGTTCACACCAGCTCATACTCACCGGTTGTTAAATTTTGAAGCAGTTTTAGAACTGGTTGTTAACCCGCTTCCCTGCCGGGGGCGCTGAGGCTTTGATGGGCTCCAGCTGGGAAGTGATGTAATTCCTCCTCCGGCCACTGGGGGCGCTGCGCTGCGGGAGCCATGTGGGCTGCCACCTGGCCCTGGGCACGAGCCCTGGTGCTGCTGCTGCTCCCCCCGACCCCTGGCCCTGGGGCTCCCAATGCTGCCTGGTGGGTCCCCGGCTTGCTCTGCTGGACCTGGGCTGCGTCCTGCTGCTCTCCCCATGAGTACCCACCACCCTGCCCGCAGCCAGCCCCCGTCTCCAGCCACCCCCTGCCCTGCCTCCAGCCACCCCCACACCCTCTGCTGGCAGCCAGCCCCTGCCTCCAGCCACCCCCTGCCCTGCCTCCAGCCACCCCCTCACCTCCTGCCTGCAGCCAGCCCCCATCTCCAGCTACCCCCTGCCCTGTCTCCAGCCACACCTGCACCCCCTGCCCACAGCCAGCCCCTGCTGCACCCCCTGCTCTGCCTGCAGCCAGCCCATCTCCAGCCACCCCCACAACCCCTGCCCGCAGCCAGCACCCGTCTCCAGCCACCCCCTGCCCTCACCTCCTGCCTGCAGCCAGCCCCCATCTCCAGCCACCCCCTCCCTCACCTCCTCCCCAGCCACCCCCCATCTCCACTACCCCCTCCCTGTCTCCACCACACCTGCACCCCCTGCCCGCAGCCAGCCCCTGCTCACCCCCTACTCTCCTCAGCCAGCCCATCTCCAGCCACCCCCACAACCCCTCCCCAGCCAGCCCCCGTCTCCAGCCACCCCCTGCCCTCACCTCCTGCCTGCAGCCAGCCCCCATCTCCAGCCACCCCCGCACCCCCTGCCCGCAGCCAGCCCCTGCCTCACCCCCTGCCCTGCCTGCAGCCAGCCCGTCTCCAGCCAGCCCCTGCCGCACCCCCTGCCCTGCCTCAGCCACCCCTGCACCCCCTGCCTGCAGCCAGCCCCGTCTCCAGCCAACCCCTGTCCTGCCCGCAGCCAGCCCGTCTCCAGCCACCCCCGCACCTCCTGCCCTGCCCGCAGCCAGCCCCTGCCACACCCCCTGCCCTGCCCGCAGCAAGCCTGGCTCCAGCCAGCCCTGCACCCCCTGCCCTGCCTGCAGTCAGCCCCTACCTCCAGTCAGCCCCTGCCCTGTCTCCAGCCAACCCCACACCCTCCTGTCTCCAGCCAGCTCCGCACCCCCTGCCCTGCCCTGCCCGCAGCCAGCCCTGCACCCCCTGCCTCCAGCTAGCCCTGCCCCACGCCCCTGTCTGCAGCTGGCCCCACATCCACTGGTGCCCTGCAGTTCCCAGGGCAGTAACCCTGCACACCTTCTTCAATGAGGGGGGCAGGGAGCAGCTGGGACCCACACATGTGCACACCCTAGGGTGACCAGACAGCAAGTGTGAAAAATCAGGACAGGTAATAGGAGCCTATATAAGAAAAAGACCCCAAAATCTGGACTGTCCCTATAAAATTGGGACATCTGGTCACCCTAGTACACCCCCAAGGGGTGGCAGGGACCCACACATGTGAAACGGAGCTCATTTCTATTTCAGGCCCATCTTTTTAAAAAAGAACTTTAGGCAGGGTTAACATACACCTGTATTTTCCTGGACAGGTCAGGCTTTTTGGTTCTTAAATCGCCATCCGGGAGAAATTTTTAAATTTTAAAAATTCCTCCCAGGAAAATACGGACATATGGTAACCCCGTTGGTACAAAAAATACATACTGGGGCACATCCCTTAAATCAGAACTTTTTATAGGGAACCGGTTGTAAAGATTTTGGCAGCTCATCACTGCCCAGGCCCAATAGAGGAGCTGACAGTAGCTCAGCTTGTACTTTGTCATTTTAATGGGAGGAGGCATGTAAGATGCTTCATCTACCCTTTTGCAGTGCAACTCTACTGAGGAACTAGCAAGTAACATGGATTTGGCCTGAAGAAGAGGTTCTTCAAGGAAGAATAAGGAGCATCTTGTGAACACTGTATTACAAATAAAAATGTAGCAGGAGAACTGATGTTACTGTTCCTAGACTGAATGGAGTTGTGGGAAAACTGAGGATCAATATTAAATAGTTGTCTGAACAAATTTTTTGGTTACTACTACCACACGCCAGACAGAATCTGGCCCTTACTGTTGGACTTTATTTTAGATATGTAATGTATGGGTATTGTTATTTGTATCATATTTTTCTGTCATTCTTTTGGTAATTTTACTCAGTGTTTTACTAATTGTTTTCTAAAGTTTTTCTAGGCATGAATTTCATGGATGTACAATAGAAAACGATCAACCAAAAAAGTTCCTTTTTATTCTGGTAGCCTTTGAACTAACATCCCATTCTTTTAAATTCAAATCAAAATGGGCACTGTGTCACACACACTGGCTCTCTGGAAAGCTACTGTGGGAGCCTAGCAGTTCAAATCATTCTTTCATACTGTATACTAAGGCTAATGCTTTTGTTGGGAGTGAATTTTTTTTTTCCAGAACAGTTCCGAAGCACTGGATTTTCCTTTATACTAGAAAACATAAATGAAAACAATTGTGTACTGTATCTTTAGTATGCTAAATTATGAAATCCTTTATGCAATAGAATGTTAGAGATAGCCATAATCATGTTTGCCTCTCATCACCCAGTGAAAATACTTTTAAGAGAGGACCAGTGTAATTATATTCCAGATAAAAGGAACCAGAATATTATACTTGGCTTGATTGCTTTGTTGATAAGAAGCAGGGGGTGGGGGGAAGAGATCTGGATACTTATTTAATGAGCAACATATTTATTAAGCAGCATGTATTGTACATAATGCATTTGACTTTGTACGTAATGCATTAAGCTTACCTATTTTTAAAGCATATATTTTTTAATATTTTACTGCAGCTATTGCATTCCCTTTGCAGCTGTCCAACTATTCAATCATTTGGGAGAGTACATCTATGGCATATTGCTAAAGCATTAAGATGAACTACAATCGTCAGTGCAGGAACAGTCAGTGTCAGCATCCACAGACGCCACAATGTCCTCGGCTGCATATTTCCTGTCACTGCTCCTATGCCAGTCAGACAGGCTCACAGCAGAATCTGTCAGAAGAGCAAAGCCACATTAACTAACATCAAGCAAATTAACACTTGAAAACATTTCAAGGCAATATTATTTTGATGGCTGCCAACTCTTTCACCAGACAAAGAATATGGGTCCAATCCTGCCTTCACCATTAACATCTGACTGACCTATTGACTTGGAGCAGGATTTTCATTCGTGGAGTAATTACTATAATACTTCCCTAAAACAAAATGAATTGCATTTCATGATGCACAAATATAGAAAGCAGGAGCTTGTAAAAGTGCTGGATGTGACCGCCCTTTAAATAAGAGCACTCTGTAGAAAAGCACATTAGCCATCTCTTTTCATATTATCACTGCCTGTGAGGCTGGAGTGGGTGGGTGGATATTTCATCTTTCTGTTTAAGTTCATTCTGAAAGATAAGCCCTTTGGAGAATTTTCAGAGGTTCATAAACTTCTAATTAAAGTTTTCCATATATTCTCAAAACTGGCAGAGCAATGTCAGTTTCAGTATTAACCTTACCAGGTTGCTTTATCAACAGCAGCTTTAATATATCATAAACCCCTACTGCTGAAATAATCGAAATGGAATAATATTAATCCTCCCAATAAATATTCTGCGCTGGTTGGAGGTTTAACATTGCATATGGAAGAATATTAGAACCCACATTTAGATTGTTTGCCTAAGTAGAATGTGCCAACCTTTCATAATTTTATCTCTAGTTGTTTTGTCAGACATATGGGCAATATATTTACAACATGCTATATTATATACCAAGAGAAAACCCAGAACTGTTTGTATGGGTTTTGGCTGTATCAGTCATTCATACTCAATGAATGAAATGTTAATGCACTATTTGGTGGAATTACACTTCTCTGACCAACTTGACACGCAGGTTTTGTATAATAAACTATAAAACATATTATCCCAGCATGATGCTTGAGCTGTTTGTTATTAAAGATTTAATATTTTAAAGCTAGAAAATGAGAAACCCTAAAGTGTCTGGTTTTGATTTGCTTTTGCTTAGCTTTTTCTCATGCCTTGGTCTTCTAAATTGTTGCATACTAAGGGCCCAATCGTGCAACCCTTAGCCCCATAAGTAGTCCTCTCTTCTGTGAACATCTCAGTGGCATCAATGGAACTGCGTACCTGAGCAACTACGATGCAAGTGAGTCAGAGGTTGTAGGATCTGGCCCATCAGGCAAACTTGCCTGAAGTATAAACTGCAGTATTTGGCCATAGATGTCTAGGGCAATAGGGGAAAATTTTCCCCTCAGTTCTGCACAGCAGTAACTTCCCTGATATTATGCTCACCCTACATGTGTGGGCCTCCCATTGCTGTCAGTGATGTGGGCTCCCACTTCGTGAGGAGCAGAGTATCAGAGCTGAGTTCTCCCTGTGTGGATCTGAGAGAAGAATTTTGCCCTCATATATAGGTGTTCATTTTATGAACCTGCTTCTCCTGCTACTCATCTGGTTCATCAAACAAAAACAACAAAAAAAGGACATCTCTTAAAGAGTTCCACTGTAATGCTGTTGATTCCCAGCCTGAGGAAAAGCAATCATGTTACTGAAGAACACCAATGGCATCCTCTACCTTCTTCCTCCTCCTCAGGAAAATAATAATAATTAATAATATTAAAAAAACCCTTGATAAAAGAGCAAGAAGCAGAGGTGGTAGTGGGCTCTTTTGTCTGAGGTTCAATAAATGAACCAGAGAAACCAGCAGCTGCTGTGCAGGCATCAGTGACTACGATGACTGATTTGGCTGATTTTCTTCTTTTCATTTTGTGTGAGAATGAGACAAGTTTATTATAGTGTAGTATTCGGAAGCAGTGAGTGGCCTAGGGTGATGACACTTCACAGATATGGAACATGGACACAAAAGAAAATCTGTGAAACACGGATATGACAAGATTTTAGAGATAGCTTGGCACTGAGGGTCCTTTCTTTTCTTAAAAGGATTCATCTAGTCACATCACATGGTGCTGTCCTTATGCTATTAGCTCACTGTGTTAGTTTTCTTATTGGTTGTGTGAGCTGGGATGCAGACTGAAGAGATATGTTTTGGTGAACTGCTTCGGCACATTGGGTATTCTAATAATATGAGCAAAGCATGATGATCTTCAGGAACATTGTTTAAAATCAGTCAGAGAACACTAGGTTCTTCTTCTGGTGTAAACTGAGTTCTATGGAGCTATGTCAGTTTACACCAACTGAGGCGCTGGCCCAGAAGTTTATCATGCAGAACAGAGCTGTACTGTTGTAAATTGTGTTTACTTCTATGGTACATGTGAGTTGTGTGATCAATTCCTGTATATTTAAGGATTTGGAAGTAATGCACCAGAATAGAAGAAACTCTGTAGACATGAGGCCTGATTCTCCTCTCAAACTTGTGTGAATGCAGAGTATCTACTTTGTAGACAACGGAGTTGCACTAGTGTCAAGTTGATATAAGTGAAAACAGAATTAGGTCCATGCTTTTTAAAAATTTGATGTGTCTGAGAGTTAAATACCTTCAAAAACAAGCTGTTTTCTGAAATAATCTGAATTTATTAATTTAGCAATATGTTTTTTGTTGATGCATTGCACATGGGCAGAGCATGGCAGCCTAATCACACTGTAGTCATGTCACATTATGTGACTGACTTTCAGTTTTTTTACTCATCTTGGTCTATATGAAATAGCAGATTGCAATGTGACTAAAAGGACTTTTTGTTGCTTATCACAACTCAGTGAAACATCTGGAAGGCATGACACATTTTTATTGGTCACTGCTGACCCTTTTACCATGGCTAAGATTTTTTTCAGACAATACCATCCGCCAAATAATCCACATTGGCTTCTAGCTACCCATGATTGTAATTGCTTATGTAAAATATTAATGGGGTTAGGAAATAACAGCTCTGAAAGCCAGGTGGGTAGTTGGGGGTCTGCGTGATGCTGTGCTATATCTTGACTAACTGATCTGACAGAGCTCCTCTGGTATGTGACAAAGAAAGTAAAACAAAACAAAACAAAACAAAAATCCTACCTTTTGGGAAACAGGAGAAGCCAACTTTAACTGAGGTTTTCTCAGTTGGAGTACAGCCTCTCATACACTGCAGTATCCTGTCAACAGAGTAACATGTAGATTCCTTTCCATCAATAACAGGATGTCCCTTCAGTTTCACATAGCGGCGTTGCAGTTTACACCCTAAGAGGAAAAAGAAAAATGTAGTTAAACCCTAAGGAATACAGAGGCTCTAATCTTTCCTTACAATAAGAAAAGTCCATATTTTCTCCTCAGGTTTTAAGTACAACTCCCCAGTGACCCATTTTCACAGCAGTAAAGGTGGCAAGAGCAGGACCATAGTTAGTGGGGAAAACTGATTTTTGAAAAGGGAGTTGTGTTTAAAAACTGATGGCACAGTATGGCCCAAATGAAATCCTGTAGTCCACTCTTTTAGAAATAGCACCTCTTAGGTCTGAAAGCTATTAAGAATAGGTACAGTGTAAGAATAGGGACTACTGAATTGCATTAGGAAAAATGGCAGTTGTTTGTGAGTAGATATGTTATGGCAGTGTTTAATGATGTCAAGACCAATTGTTGTATTGGATGATTTTTATAATGCTGCAATTATCAGCACTAAAAGGATAATTAACATTCACAGGATGCCATCTTGTTTCCTGACATGCTTATGGGTATGATCCAGCTGCCACTGAAATCAATAGAAAAAGCCCATTTGACTCTATTGAGAGTCTTTACAGGACCAAAGTAAATGAAAAATACTGCACTGTTGGAGGGAGAGTAGTATTATTATAAATACATGCAAGGAGACACACTTATACAGAAAGAGTATTTCCCATTGTGCACCTCCCCCTCACCCATGCTTTCTATCAAGATCCTCCGATGGGGTAAGATGGAATTGAAGTCAAGGGTGCTATGACAGTTTACCCAGCTGAAGATCTGGCCCAATGTACTAAAATTCTCTGTGTGCTGTTTATAACATATGTAGTTTGTTTGATTAAATTAAGTCTACAGAGAGCGAGCTGATTTAGTGCACACTCCTGCTCCGAAGCAAATCAGTGGTGAAACTTCCACTGACTTCAGTGGGAGCAAGACTGGGTCTGATTTTGCCAGTCATAGAGTAAGGAACTACTTAATATGAGTAAATGTGGCAGAATCAAGCCTCTAATAGTAGACTGAATGTGAGAAACAGATGTCTTTCACTTGAACACAAAGTAGTCAACGCTTCAGATTCATTGGGAGAGTTCTAAATAACAATTAGTTATATAAACAGAAAATGAATGATAACAATGGTCCTTTTTATTAACAGGTAAATGTTTCTCTTTTATTTTTTGCATTTTTAGGGGGAAAATAAAATAAAAATGACATTTTCTCTAAGTAGAAATTGTGTTCAAATCTACTGACCTTCGGCGCAGGTTTCTTCTACCAATACCCATGAATGGACAAAAGCTGAGCAGCTGTGTGCCAGCCTATGATTGGGCGCGAGTAGTTCATTTTGCTTTTGTCCATCATTATTTCCACAAATACCACAGGTCCTTCCTCTCATCCATGAAACAACAGTAACCTATAAACATAACACATTTTTGCTGTCGATGCCGATGTGTTGGCCCATTACAGTGCCAAGGTGTAAAAGAGAAGAAAGCTAGTAATATCACAGATTCAGAAGTACCTTAAGTGTCGAGCCATCAAAAGTCACATTCGCCAGCCCTTGGTCTGGAGCTTCTACTACAACTGTTGTTTCATTTCTATAAATTTTAATGTTTTCTGTAAAAAGATGCGACCGTTTATGACGTTCCTCTCATTTTGAAATGAAATGATCTAATCTCAGGGATAATGTAAATCATTATTAATTTACTATTTACTAAATACATTTTTTGTGGAGAAGTAAGGTCAGAAATAAGAGTTTTTTCTTTTTATTTGCAAAATGCTTCTTCTCTAAATCTATATAGATACCATTGACTTTTCTGTCTAGTCAACAGAGCTAGCCTGATTTACACCAGCTGAAGATCTGGTCCTAAATATCTAGCTTCCTCTATGATGTTCATCATCATGGCATTGCACCTACATATAAACAAGTACCAACATATTCAAGCAGCTTTGAATGCAAAATGCTTCACATTTCAGTAAGAAGATTAATCCTTATGCTTTACAGTGGCAAGCACACAATACAAATCGATATAATAATGGGCCGGATTCACTTATTAGTGAAAATTAACGGTATGTCAGTTGAAGTCATGTATGTAAAACCAAAATAAGTCACAGGAGTATCAGGCCCACAGCTTTTCTTAGTATTGAATTATTTTTTACATCTAGAAGTCCTCAGTAAGCTTGTCAAATATTTTGGTCTAGATAATACTTAGTCCTGCCATGAGTGCAGGGGGCTAGACTAGATGACCTCTCGAGGACCCTTCCAATCCTACAATTCTATGATTCTATGTTCCTGTAAATATGTAATTTCTAAATAATTCCTGGAAAGGTGGGTAACACACTGTACCTCTTTTATTTTGATACACCTTGCTGCGTGTTAACACTGGTCCATCATTATATGACACGAGGATAGAGGAAGACGCAGAAAGATAGAGTCTGATGCTTCTTGAAAGAAGAAAACAAACATGTTTAACTGTGGGAACATTGATGTAAATGACCAACACAGACACAGCCCCAACTTCAGCATCCAGATTTTGAATATGCCCCCAAAGTTCAACACCGCTTGGGCTTAGGGCTCTGGTTCAACACTTTCCTCAAAATGAGAAGCGCAAGGAGGTAGCTGTGTGGGGGCTGTTGATAAGCATTACCTGAGAAATTGAAGAGAGAGGCTGGAAGGCAGAAGAGGATTGCTGGTATTATGATTTAAAAAGTACCCAGCATTTTCCCCAATGCAATAAAATTTAAACGAATTGCCTAAAATTATATACAGCGACTCAAGAATTATTACACTTACGATGAACTAATATTGATGTACACCTCCCTGGAGGAAGAGCGGGGATCGACTTTTCTCGTCATGACGATGAATTTGGGGTGAGCAGTGCAGTCTTGAGCTACCACGAGGTTGCAGTCTTTACTGAATGAACATCTGTACTTCACTTTGTCAAATGTTTTGAAGTTTTCTTCCTTCACTTCACATGTGGCTGAAAAATAACAATAAAAATAAATGGCAGATACAACTGTGCTGTCGAGATTGTCAGGGAGATTTTGAAAGCTGCCCAAGAGGCCTGAATGGTCAGTTCCCATTAAAATCAATGGGAATTGGACAGCCAAAACTCCTTGGCAGCGTTCAAGATCTCAGCCTAAGTATACATACTTAAGAAAGGCATGGCAGCAACATAAAATGATCAATCTATGTAGAATTATACTGCTGTGTATCCATCACTTATTCTGATAAGCAGCTGAAAACAAACCATCTAGTGATAGTCTAATTTTAAAGACACTGTTACTATCATATTCCTGAGAAGCTAAAAGCTGAACCCATGACAAAAACTAGTAGCATCTCTCCAAATTTTGCCACTGTTTGTAATAAGTATCATTAGAATTAGACAGACCCAGTCCCACTAAAAATCATGAAATCCCCCTTCTAAGGAAAATAAATAGGATTGGAAAACTCATGTCCCTGCCCTATATCCACCATGTCATCCCTCTTGTGGTGGGTATGACAGACTCTTGGAAGGGACAAAGAACAGGGCTTACAGTGCTTGTAGCCACTTGGGATCTCTGTGTGAAACCCATGCATTCCTAAGCATGTATATAGACCTGAATTCCCTACGCCCCTCTTCCAACAACTGCTGAGAAGGCATCGCCTATGGTTGGGGTAAGCGTAAAGGTAAGGGTTACCAAGTTTCCCCAGAAGAACACTGCTGGGAAAGACAAAGCCCAAAGCTGACGGGAGACAGAGTCACTGGAGGGGCCAAGTGTTAACTACTACAAATAATCATTGCTCATTTATCAGATACTAGAACAGTACTGAATTAACATTTACATTGATCTTCTTTAGCTATCAGTGAAGATATTTCTGGAAGGAAATTCCAAGCAGTCACTTCTTGAGCCTGAGAAGCTGGAGCTGGGCTCACAGGCAATGCAAATGGAAGTGGGAAAGCCTCATAGTAAAGGGTTAGCTGAAAAAGAAGTAATGAAAATGCTTTAGGCTATGTTTAGTCATACAATTTGGTCAATCATACAGAAAAAAAGACCCCCCCCTTGTTAAAAATTCCCTAAATATGTATTTGTATAACTGGAGTTATTACAGTCTTCCCAGGACACTGTAGGCACCCAAACCTAACATATACATTTTTATAAGCTCATTATCTTTTATTTTATTATCATTTGTATATATTCTTGAGAGATTATCTTTGAATGATCATTTAAAGACATAGGGAATTAAGATGCACAGGTGATGTTTATGGTATTGTTAAGTGTCTTCCTTAAAACGAAAAACCAAACCAAAGAAACCACCACACCACAGGGTGACTGAGCAATAAGTTCCCTGTGCCTTATGCTGTCCCACATAAGGCACAGGGAACATGTGAAGAGCATGCGCTAGCTGCCAGTCTTAGAGAATGAAAGCTGGTTTGATGTGATTTTGGTTGAGCTCACATACCATAGTGAAAGACACATTAAATATACATAGATAAACAGGTTATACACCACTCCCTCCTTATCACATATGAAAAACCCCTGGAAAATTGAAGTACAAGGGTAGGTTAAGGACACACTTACTTCCTTTATGGAAAGCCAAGCTGTTATTAATTTAAGCCAGACTCACTAGGGGACATTTTTCATAAAGATGCACAGGGATTTAGTGGACAAAGACCAATTAATCAGTTGGAGTCTGCAGACTACATCTGTGCAGGCTGCTGTGAAAACATAGCCCTTCTTGTTTGTTCAGAGGAGTGCTTCATTTGGGAATTCCAAGGTTTGATCCTGCAAATCCGTGAGTAATGGACTGCAAGAAGCCCTGGGCTGTTGGACTCCAGCACCAGGCAGCATATAGGTGCAAGTAAGGTTAAGCATTAGCCATAGTCTTCCTCAATGTATCCTTTGTAAGTCACCTACACCATACTCCTGAGAGCCCAGGATAATAACAAGCAAAGTGTGTGGGCAGGATGGGCATATCTGAGGAGATATCAACTTTAGTGCCACCCTCTGCATAGAAATGAAGGATTTGGCTAAAGTCTTCCCCTTTGGGCATTACTCTGCAGGCTGGAGTGAGTTGGTTCTGTGCAGTTGGTGTCTCTTTCATTATGAAAGCATCAGGTTCCCAAGGACTTCCGGTCATGCTGATCACTTTTTTTATCTTGTGCTTTATGGCACACTACAGGATCAAGCCCTGTGTATTCAGGATCTATGGTAGCTTGTGTAGGAGGGAAGGGTCTGCATTTTTCCTTTCTCAGAATTAGCTTAGATGTATTACAAGTAGAAAGTATATTTGGAAAAACAAACAAACAAACAAAAGTCCCACATACCCCAGGAGCCTTTATGACTGTATTAATTGTCCGCGGTGAAGTTGCAACTGCTCTTAATACAACCTCCCGAGAAGGATTTTTCTGATACACTTCTGAGAAGCCCATCACGAGTGCTATTCCAGGAACAAATTCCATAGCTCTAGAGATAAACAAGATGTGACATACTCAGAACCTTCATAACACCAACCAACGTAACAAGAACAACACAACAAATAACTGCATACGTTATAGTTGTCCTCCTTATCCAGGATGGAAGTTTTGTCCAAGCTATCTTCACCTGTATGGCTGGATTCCTTGAAATTTGGCCTGTGGAAGCTCTTGCTTCAATTTTGTAGTCCCGGCATTCCTTGCCCCACCTGAACCTGGCCTTTATGAGGAACAGAAAAAGTCATTAGAATTTTGGAAATGAAATCATATTACAAAAAAATCTGTCATCATATCAAAATACATGATCTTTTTATGCAACTTCAGTGAAGTCTTCAATGCTCCTAACTCATTCACTAAAATATACTTGTGGAGGAGTTATGGCTACATCTGGAGGAATATGGGGGTGAACGGTAAGTGTGGTAGGCAAGGCTGAATGTTCCCATTTTGAATGTTCGGAAACTTGCACTGAAACATGAACTAGAATTCTGCAGTGTGACATTTTGCTGAGATTCATTACATTTTGCAAATTCATCATCAATCTGTATATTTAAAAAAGACATGGTGTACTCTTCTAGAAATTTCACTTTTACAAAAATGTCTGGTTCTGCAAAGATAAACAATTTTCACTACTGACAATTCTGATGAAACTTTGAAACTGCAGCCACAAAATGCAGAAGTCTGGAGATCACTATACATGTACATAGCTCTGCAAATGAAGGCTTCCATGACTGGGGCACGTGGGCATTGCTGTACAGAGAGGCTTGAAAATAGAAACTGCAAACACAGTGCCCTAATTCCAATGCTTTCAGGCATCAACTCACCACCCAACATCACTTCAGCACCTATCTTATATGGAAAGAAGGAAACAAAATGTCCTTGAAGTGGCAAGGTGGGTGAGGTAAAATTTTGTATTGGACCAATTTCTGGTGTAAAAGACAAGCTTCTGAGCCACACAGAGCTTTTCTTCAACTCTGAGAAAGGTACTCTGAGCAGCATAGCCAAAGGCAAGATGGAACACCTTGTCTCTCTAATATCCTTGGACCAACATGACAGCTATGCATCATACAATACTTGAAGTGGCAGTCATCTGAAATGCACATATAAAGAAAGGAATGAGCCAGATCCTCAGTTGGTGTAAATTGGTACTTGAGCTGGTCAAACATTTTCAGCTTTTCAAAATTTAGCTACAAATATTTTGCAAACAAATTTTGAAAATTTTCACAAATTTATTTTCCTGTTTTTCAGAAGGCTTATAAAGAGAGGTTGACTTTTATTCAAAAATTCAAAATTTGTGAAAAATGCCAGGAAAATTTGTTTTCCTTGTTTGACCATCTCTAATCAGCATACCCATCTGGTTATTTGATAGCCTCAGGCCTTTTAAAGCTCTAACTTGGTTGAGCCAGTTCTATCTTTACCTGTGCTTTGAGAGGCAATACTACAGAATCAGCACATGCTTTCCAGTTAGTTTCAGCAAGCTGAACCACAACCACTTGCATATCGACTTTGGCAGCAGCAGAGTTAATATATGCTGTGGCTTGGTAACCTTGATTTTTGTTGTCACTCCTAACTGCCCGAGCCACAATGGTGAGTCCAGGTGGAAGTACATCTCCCAGGAAATTGGGCTGAAAAACAAAACAAAAGTGGCCATGCTTAACTGCACATGTATAGTCAATGGTGAACATTGGATTCATTTTGTACTGAACTGATTCCAGTACAGCAGTACAGAGCCTGGGCTGGTTGAGAATGAACATAGTTCCCGATTCTTATTGTTAATTCAGTGTAATTTTGGTGGGTTATTCTCCTTTTTTATCTCAGTAGAATAAAGAATTTTAAAAGATGCAGTTGTCTTGACACAAGATCCACGGCTCACTTAAGACATATCAATGGACTTATTAAGATTTTGTGTATTATTTTTAATATTTAATAGATTTCTAGAACACTTATTGGATATTATTACCACAGCAATATATTCATTCAGAAGCAACTCCTTTGAGACATAATGAGAGTTGTGAGTTCCTTATTAATTGCAGTATTCACACAATATTATGAATCCTTTGGATATTTCACTATGTAGTTGCGCCAGGCTGGTATGCTATTATTAAGATACATTTACTTGGAATGGATTCAGAATACCACAGTACGGATAGTGAACGTTAGTGAGCTAACCAGTGCTTAAGGAAATATTTGTATCTCCCTAAAAGTAATGGATCCGTTTTACGAGCACATGGCCAGATTTTGTCTCTGTTACACTGGACGTACACTGATGACTTCTGTGGCTCTACTCCAGACAGCAAGACTAGGATTTAACATTTAAATGTACAGGTGGGTTTTTTCATAGTTCTCACTGAATATGTAAATTATATAGGACACATGCCTAAGTTGTGTTTTTCAGTAGAGCTGGTTGAAAATTTTCTGTCAAAACACTTTGTGACGGAAAATACCCTATCAATGACATGGCAATTTTCCCCACAAATTTCAATTTTGGAGTTTCCATTAAAAAATTGAAAATCTTTCCATTTCTAGCCACCCAAAAATGAAACTTTTCTTTGAACGTTTTTGACTCCTGAAGACTCAAAAAAAAAATATTGAAACATTTAATCAAGAAAGGAACTTTTAACATCGTTGGTCACAATTTTTCACAGGAAAGAAATCATTTCTGGTTTCAAAAAAGATCTCCCTGTCGGGCATTTTCTGGGGAGTTAACGACTCATTGGGGTTAATGGCTGGAGGCAGAGGCAAGGTCAACAACTCCTCTTACGCGGTCTAGTTCCTAGGCAAAGAGAAAATTTCACCTCGTGTGCAAAGCTAGAATCGCTGCTGCTGCTGCTGCTGCTGCTGCTGCTGCTGTTTCTGCTGCTGCTGTCTCTGGAGCTGCTGCTGCTGCTGCCTGACGGAGGGGAAGATGAAGATGAAGATGAAGATGATGATGATGATGAGCTGCTTGACGACACCTGACCTGGAGTCTGGAAAAGAGAAATAGGTAAAAGACGGTGGGACAGGTATCTGGCCAAACCCAGCTCTTATCCTGAAAACTCCCTCTCCTAACTGGAAGCTCTTGCGGCAGTAATCAGCTACTACGTCACACAGAGGCACCGAAGCCGTGTAACGGATCATTATAAAACTAGAGCCGGTTAAAAGCGTTTTATTTGTACAAATAAGAGCAGGATTTTTTCATTACAAATTTCACAGAACAATTTTCCTATTTTGTGACCAGCCCTAATAACAAGAAGTTTACAGGAAGAGTCCATAAAGCCATCACATTATCCTCCTCGTTTCAGGGCCTCCTTAGAACTCACCTCAGCTGTGATGCACACAGAATCTGCCTTCTGGTAACGTCTAGGCAGGTGGCAAGCTCTTATTACGGTTGTTGATTGTCTAAGAATTCTGCACATAGCTCATCCATGCTAAAATATCGTATTATTTTGTTATCCCTAGTTGTAGGGATAATTCTTCAGTGGTCACATTAGTAAAGTGACATACCATATATTGTTTTTCCTTTGCTTATTTTGAGTGCATGTCTCTCCTACACATCTCTCTATTTATAAAGATCTTCTTCTAGACTATCTTTCTCCTCACTGCGTAGAAACAACATGCACCAAAGTGCCTCCTTCTTTTGTATGTTCCTTGTAAGGGTATCCAGGAAGAGGATAAATAAGAAAGGGCTCAATGCTGATCCCTGATGCACTCCCACCTTTACCGATAGTTCTTCTCTTTCACCACTACGAAGTTCTGGCTGTTGACGTTGCACCTACATATATGGCTTGAACAAGCTGCTCACAAAGTTCTGCATCATTTTCTCCCTCATACACCTCCAGGTGACTTTCCTGGGAACTTGGGCAAAGATCAATGAACACTATGTGAATATTTTCCCTCTTCTCTCTGAATTTTTCTCACTCGCTGTGTCAGTGCAAAATCAGCATCTATTGTCAATCTTCCTCTCAAGATAATAGTATTCAACAAAAATGATTAGGGGGCTGGAGCACATGACTTATGAGGAGAGGCTGAGGGAACTGGGATTGTTTAGTCTACGGAACAGAAGAATGAGGAGGGATTTGATAGCTGCTTTCAACTACCTGAAAGGGGGTTCCAAAGAGGATGGCTCTAGACTGTTCTCAGTGGTAGCAGATGACAGAACAAAGAGTAATGGTCTCAAGTTGCAGTGGGGGAGATTTAGGTTGGATATTAGGAAAAACTTTTTCACTAAGAGGGTGGTGAAACACTGGAATGTGTTACCTAGGGAGGTGGTGGAATCTCCTTCCCTAGAAGTTTTTAAGGTCAGGCTTGACAAAGCCCTGGCTGGGATGATTTAGTTGGGGATCGGTCCTGCTTTGAGCAGGGGGTTGGACTAGATGACCTCCTGAGGTCCCTTCCAACCCTGAGATTCTATGATTCTATGATTCCTAGCACGGAGCCATATGCGTTTGCTCTAATACCTGCTTCACTTCTCAGTGTAATGATCATTAAAGAGAACACTTAAATATTGGACCTACCGAATGGGACTTGAAGACGAGTCGGTACATTTCTGGAACGTGCTTTTCCTGCAAAATTCCAAAACAAATTATTGCCGGCAATGATACAACAACCGCCACGCCAGAGTCACCTGGGATACATTAAAAATGGTTACCCAGTCTGCAGAGGAGTCATAGCTGCTGCGACTGGCGTATTTAGACTTCGCATGTTTCTTCTCCTCTTTTGGATACGACTCCTTGGAACGCTTCTTGGCATCATAGCGAGTTTTATCAGCACTTTCGCTGCTGCTGCTGCTGCTGCTGGGTCCGCCGGAGATGGCTTCGCTGCTGCTGCTGCTGCTGCTGCTGCTGCTGCTGCTGCTTTTCCCAAATGGAGATAACGTCTTCCCTTTGGTTTTAGAACGCCCTTTGCTGTGGGACCCTTTCTGCTTATATCCTTGATGCCCCTTCTGCTGTTTCTTGCTTGATGGGCCCAATGAAGAGTCAAAGGAAGCTGCATCCTTCTTCTTCAGATTTATCTTTGTGGCCTTAGGCTGAGCATCGCTGCTGGATGAGCTGGAGCTACTGTTGCTGCTGGAGGAGCTGGAGCTGCTGGAGCTGCTGGAGCTGGATGACGATTTTCTGTCTTTTCGGATTCGGAGTGATTTTCCCTAGTCGAAGACAGGAGCAGAGAAAGACAATTATTATTCTGTTCGCTGGCGGAAGTTTTTAAGTAAAATGCTCTGCTGAGAGAAAGAAGTCTTTCTGCTGTCCTCCACAAAGCAAGGTTGAGTCCCCCAATAGAGACTTCATCTCTGTTTATAATATATTTTAGTGATGTCCACACGGGATGGTTCTCTAAACCAACACATTTAGACGAGAATGTGTAGGAGGTATGGTGGACAGAATTACGCATGACTGAAGTTAATACGGTATGATGTTATTTCCTACACTATCTAAAGTACTAAGTTTGCCTTGTTATTGTCACTTTATTTGCTATTAAGAGTTTACCAAGTATGTGTATATTGTCCCCTGCAAGTCTAGAAGTGTATATATTATATAAGTACCTGGGTCTGGACTGTGGGATCATCAAGGATTTTCTTCATTTTTTGAATTGCCTCTTTGCCGGAAGCTAGTTCAGTTTCTGGGTCTTCAAATGTTACCAAACGCACCATTTTTGCAGCAGCCTGAGCACCTGCTTGAATTGTTACTTGTATTTTCTCAATTGATGACTCTGTATGGACTGACATGACATGGCAATTATTATCACTGTTACTGGTTATTGTTATTAATAGCAGGAGAGGATTACAATAGCCCAGAATGTGCCAATTTCGGCTTTTATATTGTATGTGGGAGATAAAGCAACATTTTTTTGCAGGTCTATTTGCATTTGGTGAAAATGGCTATTTTTGGTATTTAGTGACTTTGATAGTGTGTCATGCAAATTGAACTTACATACATTTTTCAGTGTTGAGCATGACACTAGATTCATTTCAAGTAAATAAAAAATTGCAGATAATCCAGTCAGCACATCCAGATCACTGGAATAAATTGCTTTTTTGACCAGAGTTTATTGGCGGTGCCTTACTTGGCAACAGCTGTGATAAGAGAATTACACATTTGTTGCCATATGGGTCTTGACAAATTAACATGAATTTCTGTGTTTATATATTAATTAATTAGATATTGAGCTTGCCGCTGGACATTTAAAGGATTGTCCAGAGTTCATGCCACTAGCCTGGGACTTGGGAAATCTTTGTTCAATATCTTCCTCTGCTTCAGATTTCATGTATGACCATGGGCTAGTCATTTAGTCTCTCTGGGGTGTTGTGATGATAAATATATTAAATATTGTAAGGTGCTGAGATACTAAGGTAATAGGGGTCATGAAAGTGCCTCAGATAGAAAGACAAATATTTATTAGTTTCTCTCAAGACAATAGTATTTACCTGGTTTGCAGGTAAGTTTGAAAGCATTCTCCCCAACCAGATAATAGAGAGGAGCCTTTCTGATAAATGCAGCATTCACACTTTTTATTTCTGCGCAAAATTCAACTCCAAATGTACTTGCATTGAAGCACATGGAACGAACAGATGATACTTTCTGTTGGGATGATTGTCCAGCTGAATAGATGCTTCCTGTTGAAATGATTTCTGAAGACAGTCTACCCTATTGTGTAATAAACACATGTCAATGTTAGATTCTCTGATGCTGATAATAAAAAATATAAACAAATTGTTAAATCTCCTGTTTTAAGAATAGATTCCTGTATGTTTTATAAGGTGATTAATCGATTTGCTTGAGATTCTGGTGGTCTGATATGGAATGACCCTGTTGTCAGCTGGTCAAATTGGCCATGTCATATCATGGTCAAGTAGGCCATGTTATCTCATGTTTAGGGTATCTAATTAGAATAGAAGGGTTTAAGACTGGAAAATGGAGTTCCACCTAAATGTGCTAATTATTTTATTTTGCTTTGTTTGCTCAGTGAGTCAAGCTGTGTTCACTGAATCCCAGTATCTCGGTAACCCTATAATGACTGTAGAAATGCTAGACAAAAAGAAATGTATAGTATGGAATTCTGTCCTACCATAAACATTGAGCCAAATTGTGGAGCCCTTACTCAAGTCAATGGGGCTTTTGCCTTCATAAGGGCCTAGTAAGGACTACAAGTTTCATCAGCTAAGAAAGCCACAAAGATCTCCTAGATGGCCAAAGTGGATGCTTCCCCTAAGCATTCCATATATGGCAATCAATGGTTCCAAAGGACCCACTGAATTACAGTTAAGAGGTTGGAACTAAATCTGTGCAATGAGATTTATGGTTTCCCTGAGCAATGAAACTAACACCTAAAGAGAGAGAACCATGAGTTTCCACCAGCCAGGTACACAGTGCCTCTTTAAATGTAGTAAAAGGGTTACAACCAATTTTACTTTTTCAGAAATGAGTAAATACTTCACATTTTTGTGGACTGCCTGACAAGATTCCTCAGTCATCAGAGGCATACTCTAAAAATAGAGCTTTTAATGGTAACTCTTTCTTTTGTAGGTAAATTCCGACTATGCTGCGAATTGTTCAAGTTAGGGTCATCATTTAGTTACGGTTCATTTAGCGGCAGTTCAACAGTCAGGGCCAGATTCTGTGCTGCAGCTCTCCACAGACTCAGCGGAGAGGCACAGACTAGGAGGATTCAACTTGTTTTAGTGCCACAGGGGCTGCTCTATCTTATATACTCCTGGGGGAATTCTGCGCCACTGCATGCATGCATAACTAATGAGTCATGCATATTTTTAATTTTTTTGTGCTTAAAAAAGCTTCGGCTGAAAAGTTGCTGCAGTTCTGCCTTTTGTCCACCAGAGAGTGCTGTGGCGATAGAACACAACAGTAACTCCCAGAAGAAAATAACTTCTGCAGTTCTGCCTTTTTCCCACCAGAGTGCGCTGTGGCGATAGAACACAGCAGCAGCTCCCAGCCAGCTAGGGAAGAGAAAGAGCCTGCAGAGCCTTCTTCACAGAGGGCCAAGTCAGGAGACAGGGGCTATGAGGAGACAGACAGTGTGGGCGCTGGTGGGGTCAGACAGGGGATCATAAGGGCTAGTGGGGAAGGATCGACTGGGGCGGGGGCTGAATGGGAATGGAGGCACATGGCCACAGAGGAAAGGGAGGTGCAGAGCCACATGGTGATGGGGAAGGGGGTGCAGAGCTACATAGGGACATAGGGTGTCTGAGTGGGGGCACAGAGACACATGGGGACGGGATGGGGGTGAAGAGCCACGTGGAGATGGGGAGAGTGGGTATCTGAGTGGAAGTGGGGGGACACATGTGCCTGAATGAATGGGAGAGGTTAGGGGTCAACCAGGATGTATATGGGGGAAGATCCCTAACAGTCCCTCTCCCCTCCCCTCCAAAAAACCCCCTGTTCCATACTTTTCCCACCCATACCCAACAACCCTCTAAGTTCACACCCAGGCAATTATTTTATCTCAGCAATTATTTTCCTCTCACTCAGATCCTCCGTTACCCCTGGCTCCTTCCAGCCTTTGCACTGCTTCTGAGGGGTGCAGGAAATATGGTTCTGTATTGTAGTTTAAATGAATTAATACTCAGAGTAATAATACAGACGCTCCCCAGGTTACAAAAGAGCCGACTTACACAAATTTGCACTTACAGAAAAAGCTCCATAAGCCAGAAATAGGATTTTCGAGTCGCGGAAATTTTTGTGTAACGTATGGGTGTACGTTTCTGACTTATGCAAAATTCGAGTTACACAAGGCTTTCCAGAACGGAATGATTGCGTAAGCTGGGGAGTGTCTGTATGCGTAGTAAGTAATCTCTTTGTCAAAAAACATTTTCTGAATCTTTTGCTGTTGTCTGTTATAGACATACTTGCTAAAGGTATTTTGAAATAAATGACCAAAAATAATTGAAACTGGTGTGATTATACTGTGTTATTTTGACAAATAAAATATGCAGAATTTTAAAATATCCGGTGCAGAATTTTTTATTTTTTGGTGCAGAATTCCCCCAGAAGTACTTATAGCAGCCTCCCTATGATTGCCTATAGGCTTTTTCACAGCAAAGCACTATGGCCACTCTCCTTTGGATCCCCATCCCACCCAGGAGCCAATTGCCAACATACCCCTCTGGCAGAGGCTGTGAGGGGTTCAGTACAGTGCTGTGTACACCATCCTGTGTTGCTCTTACACTGGAGAAATTCTCCTTAGGGCCATTGTGCCTCCTATACGTTACTAGAGCATCATGAAGACGCTGGAATAGGAAGCCCTTACTGAAAACTGTGTCCCCAAAATGGAATTATATTCAGTCATTTGACTTGTCACAAAAACAGACATTCATCCTGAATCAGAAATGCCCCATTCCTCAACATCATATTTCATTTCTACCTGTTGAATAATCCAGCCATTGCCTTGTGGAACATTTTGTGACCCCCCTGCTAATTTACAGGAAGGCTACATGAGAGTTATAATGCATTTAAAGGGTTGTGGGCCTTTCCCATAGGAAATGCTAAAATTAATTATTCAACAAAATGCTATAGTTTCTAAAAACAATTATTTTAGCCTGACACTGTGATTAAATTCCAGATTTCTTTACTATTGGGTTATTTTTGCCTCAATGTTGTACTTGACTCATTTTGAAAAAAATAACACCAGTCAGAAACCATTAATACAAAATTCACTTCTGGATAAAGGAGATAATCTTACACTGATCAAAAAAACAAAAGGAGTGTTCAAAATCCAATATGTGTTACCCTTATTTTATCACTCTCGCCTGATGCGGAACCTGAATCGAAGGACAGCTTCATTATGTCAGGCACTGCCTCAGGTAGAAGAACCGGCGTCATCTTAGTGGCAGCTAAGTCTTCAAGATTTCGTGTAACAGCATATGTCTTAGACCTGAAGAATAAACATGAAGGGGAATGTTGTCTCAATAAGCACTTCTGAGGAAAAAATCTGAATTACATCTTGTGGCATGTACTTAGCAATAAACATCCTACCTTGCAAATTACTTCACAGATATTTACAGCAGTCATCCTGCTAGTGAGATTGTCAAGCTCTATAAAGGCTGCAGAGAAATGTAGACCAACATTTTCAAAGTTGGGTGCAAACGTTTAGGCCCCTCTGTTCATACTTAGGCTCTTAAATATGTGGCTTGATTTTCAGAGGTGCTGCACATCTGCCTGCACCAATCATTGAAAGCAGTGGGATCTGTGCATGTAAGCACATTGGAAAATGGGGCCACTTAGTTTGGTGCCTAGCTATGGATTTAATTGCTTAGCTTTTGGCTCCCATGTTTGGAAATTATGGTCTTCTTTTTAATTTTCAAAATTTTACATAGCCTAGAAAAGACACACTTGGGATACTTGTTACTAAATGGTTACTTCATTCTCTCTTTTTTATCATTAAAAATAATAAACACCAGGGAAAGTATGCCATGAAATGTAAATTCTTGTGTGACATATATTAACAATGCCGTTGAAGAGAGGCGCTGAGAGTCACCTGAATAAGACATCCGCAACTTGCTGCAACTGCATTATTGCTAGAATCACTGCTTTCCCCAGATCATCAGAACTTTATTTACATAGTAATATTCGGTACAGAGGTTCCTAAGATGTGGTCTATGGACTGCTGGTGGTCCATGGGCACTTGGATCTGGTACTAGTAACGTGGGATGAGATTCTGTATTGCACCTTTCAGAGGCTCAGAATGAGAGGGGGGCTGAGGTGGCTTTAAGCCACCTTTGTGCCTTCCCAATCCTGGGCTGCTCCATGACCGGGAGAATCCTCCTCCACCCAGATGTGGGGCTTTTAAAGTCTCTTTACACCTCTCCAGCCCTTTTACTTGGTGTAAGGGGGCTCACACAGAGATGAGGATCTTACCTCTGGTGCTTGCTCTTTATTTCTAGCTGTTTAATAACATTAAAATACAACTAAAAATACCTTATGTATGCTCCTAACGTTTCTTTTTCATGTCAGCAATAGCTGTAGCTACCACAGGGTTGTTATGGGATTGTGAATGAGAGGAGGTGGCCTGCCTGACTGCAAATGGAGAGATGGCCTATGAGATGATCTCTATTATAATGAGGTCCACACTGTGTGAAAGTCTGAGAGCTCTCAATCTCCCCTATTTGAAAGGTGAATTTGTATTCATTTGATGGTGCTCTCTTCCTCTTGAAGACTCTTGCCATGCTGCGTGCACTGTAAAGCACACAATTGCACTTCATGTGGAACACCTCAATAAAACATGTGTCACCCAGGGGGGCTTTGTTTGCTTTTCCTGCTCTTCAGTTTTAGATAAGGACATGACAGCAATGCTCCATGCCGAGAGTGAGTAGAACCTTGAAGAGTGGAATCTGAAGTGAAATATTCTTCCTAACAAGCGGAGTGGATAAAAGAAAATACAAATCAACATTCAATTCAGATGGCTCATCTGGATAAGGGGGACAAAAGAAAAAAAAGTGGCTTTTATTTCAGTCCCATTCAATAATTTAAATGACCACTGAACAGCAGGCTGGGTCTCCAGGCACAACGCTCTCCTATTCCTTTTTTTTTTTAATTATTATTTTTTTATGCCAATAGTCTACTCCTGCCACCTAATGAAAGCGGCGGATCAATTCCTCCCTGTTGTGCTCAGAGAGCTGACAATGCAGCTGCATCAGAGGTGACACGTGTCAATGTCTGCAGAATCACACAGCACAGTAAAAACAGGCTGCAAGAGCCAGCTCTGGCTCTTTAACAAGAAAAAAAACAGTTACAAAGAGGGCCTACAGCTAGGGTATGAAAGAATCTGTTCTCTGTGATCCTCACACAAGGGAGAAAATAAAAGGGAGATTTTTCCAATATATGTATTAGTGTATTCTTGGATAAGAGAAGAAGCTGTTCATTTATCTGTGATATAATAGCAGCCAAATTCAATATGTGTGTGTGGGGGGTCTGGGGGGGCGGGGGCGCAATTCTGTTGAAGTGGGCCCGTTTATGTCAGCAGCGAGTGTTGTCCTAAGTACTTAGCATAGGGGGAAAAAAGAGCAATATATAAATACGTTTCATTATTAAAAAAAGTCTTTATTAATTTTAAAACAAGGTTATGACACTACCTATAAGAACTACAAAAATGATACGCAAGTAACAAACCTATGGCCAAATTCTGATCTCATGTGCACCAGTGAAAAGCCAAAGTACCTCAGCTGAAATCCACAGAATTACTCCTCATTAATACCAGGAAAAATTAATTCAGAATCTGGCACAAGAATGTTACAAAAATAAAGTCTTGAACAGGTATGGCACTTCCCTCCCACACGCGCACACCACATCTCCCGAGCAATGTCTTGCACCACACATTGGCATACTTGTGTGCTCCTTTCTAGGAGAGTGAAATTATCCCATGTCACATAAACTTCTGCAATTCTGTCATTAATCTTATTTATAAGAGGCTCCTGTGAAGCAATGTCTGCCAGGCCAACATACAATTTTTTAAAAACTGGGACACAGCATTATTCAAGTGAATGTATATATTTCAATAGCTTGTCATTATGAATATGAGATACATTTTCAAAGTGTGTAGTGCATTCTCTGGCATCTCTCCATATATATACTTTAAGCACAAGGCTCTGATTTCCCCCAAAGCTTATTTACATTTCTTCCTGTAAATGTTACAGGAAAAAATATGTTTTTAAGTGGCCATTTGCTGGCAAGCTGAATATAATACCAATAAATATGCAAAGCCCAATAAGTGTGTGAAAAAGGTTTTAAAAATACCTAGGATTTGTATTATTTCTCAAATTCAGTTTAATTTTGATTGGATTGGATTGAAGCAATGCTTTGTATTTTTCATGTAGTATTATTAATGGGTAGTTGTGATATGTGTTGAAAAGGGAGTCTGAGTCCTAAATTTACCGTCTTGTCTTGGGGCTTCAGTGTCTTTATCATCTACACTTTAAACCAATTCTTCAGAAGTCAGTGATTTCTCATCTGGGTTTTTATTTGCTGCTGGAGTCTCATGCATCTCACAATTCTCACAGATATAGTGTACCAGCCTTGATAATATTGAACCAGATTTTCCTCACAGTTACATCCGCACGGAAGTCTGGTTGCTCTCAAAGCATGGGTGCCAGGAGATAGTAATGCTAGCTTCCCCATGCAGCCAATTATCTTGTCACTATCTGTAATGTCACAGTAAGGTCTCAGTGCAGGTTGGTTGGACTAAGTGACCTTTTAAGGTCTCTTTCAGCCCTGTGTTTCTATGATTCCTAGTTAGCTCACTACTGTGAAGTCCATAAAGGATGAGTCAAAGTGCCATATTGTAAAATATAGTTTAATTATGAAGGCCGCTCAAAAATGGTCTAAAGAGAAAACGCTTCCAACTTCTCAGCTTCCCCTTTAGAACCATTCCCAGTGGTTTCTTTAACAGAGGCTCCAAAGCTAACTAGGTAAACAGTGTCAGAGCATTTCCAAAATATTGAATCCAATAGATTTCTTATAACTTGACAGGAAGCATTGAATTATTCAAAATATCATGCAAAACAAATACATATTAAAGTAAGGTTTCCTGCTAATTCTCCATATATTGGCTTAATATTTATCCTCTTACCTTTAAGATTTTACTTGTTTCAGAAGTACTTTGGTGACATGGTTCAATGTTCTGTTCTCTAATCATTCCCCTTATGTGCACATTGTTTCATTCTGAGTGCATATGCCATTACTCACTTGTTTCGTAGCATAGTTTTGAAATGCTTTTATAAGCATAAGAAAAACTGATGGTGGTAAAACTTTGCTCATCTTTGCTAGAGTCTATACCATTAATTTAAATGTTTGATTAGGCATTATCTAATTATTTCTATCTAAGATTATTTCAGGTGACATATAAATTACTGTGCTGTGATACTTAGAGGTGAGCAAGGGGAAGTGGTTTGAATCGGAATTCTAATCCCACAGTCCTAATGCTGGCTCACTTTCTGACCTGGCTCACATTTCTGTGTCTCAGTTTCCTTTTCTGACAGACAGGGAAAATAACTTTTACTTGTTTTGCAGGAGTGTTGTATGTTAGTTAAAGTTTGTATAACAATTTGAAGCTCCAGGTAAATGTTTAGCATTATTATTAATATTCATTATTATTATTTATTTCTTTAATATTCCCTTTAACCTGTCCCACACTGGGACCTACTGAGCGTGTTTGGCATAAATATCCCTTTCTAGCTGATCTCAGGAACAGACATGTGGTCCATGCAAGAGACTGAACAAATAACTTTGGGCCATGGCTCCTTTGAAGCTCTTGCACAGATAACTGATGATCTGTCAACTGTGGAAGAACTCACCCCTCTGTTTAGGCACCTGGAGTGCTTCCTGAGCATGTTCACTGGAACCCCCAAAGTCATTGTGGGGAACCTGGTTATGATCACTCTTGATGGAGTGAAAGATTCATCCTTGGAGGAGGGTGTAATACATAATGCCTAAGAAGAAAGTTTGTGATCATAACAGGGAGAGGGGACTTTTAAGGGCAAATAATGATCAGCCTCCATGGCTGCTAAACTGAAGAGGCCTGCAGAGCTTCCAGGAGCCAGCAGCCATGAATGCTAACTTCAGGGGGGTCAAACACTGAATTCTTTTGTCGCTGCCATATTCCTAGAACAGAAACTTGTTAACATTTCTGGGCATTGTAGATTTCTGTTGGTGGTGGCACTTTTTCCTTTGTGATGAATTTTCAGCCTGGCTTTCTGTGTTTTTTGAATGTGAACATTTTCCTAAGCTTTGGTCTGCTGCTTTGATTCCTTGGACACACTCTTTTTTTATTCCCTGCCTCTCTTTGTATTTCTATCTGTTTTTGCCTCTTTGGCATCGGGCTACAATAGTTTTCCAGAGTGTTTTGCAGTTGCATGCAATGGTAGTAAATCAAGTAGACCTATGAGGCAAGAAGATCAAATGCCCACCACAGGAAAACCAGATTAAAACACAAGAAATGCCAAATGCTGGACAATTTTAAAACACTGAATGTGTGTGTGTGTGTATGTGTGATTAGCAATGTATTCCAATTATAATCAATGGGATTTATTCTGCTTAAACCTAACCTTATATTGTGTAGTTATTTGAGAGAAAAATGATGAAATGAATGTTATAAACAGCTTGGGCCTAAAGGTGGTTTAAAAGAGAAAAGCAAGTGAAGACCACTGGAGAGAAGTGGCATTTATTTAAGCATAATTTTTGATTCAAGGCATTTATTCTATAATAAGTAAGTAATGCCGGAGAGTGCCAGTCAGCCAAATTATTTGCATGGGGTGATTCCTAAAAAGGAAATGCATTTTATTTTCAAAAGATTCCTTTCTGCATTACTACATAGGAAGATAATATAATATCACCAAAAGCATCATAATATGACTGATATAACCTGATATGAGAAAGTTCAGAAATCCCAATCGTAAAACAGATGCAGCTTACCTTAGAGTAATGACATCAGTTTCCTGGCTGCATGGTGGGATTTCCAATTTGAAATTCTTATCCTTAATATTCACAGTAGCTGCAACGTTCATAGGGAGATTTACATTCACTTTAGCATGTGCCTCCAATCCAGCTTGGAACAGGTGTGTATTAGTTCCCATTACAAAGATCATGTCCTTGACCATGCTGAAAAATTAGAACAACATGGTGAAGTTGCATGCATACAGTAAAGAGTTAACAGATACTTACAACTGCCCTGTGCATTTGGAAATATGATCATTTTATTTTCTACTAAATTTTTACCTTAGGGTCAGCTTGGATCGCACTTTAATATTGGCATTAAGTAAGTCAGCCAGTTTGAAATCGGAACTTGGAGTTGGTGAAATCTGTGCTTGAACTATTGTAAAGAAAGAAAAGAACATGAATCCATGTAAAAAATACCTAGAAGTCCTGCATGCCACTTGCTTTTCAATTTGCCTTACCACTTCCTGCAACATTTGTGAAAGAAGCATGATACAAGCTTGTCTCCATTGGGAATCCAATACACGTAGGCACAATGCGACGGATTTCTGCAGACAACAAAGCTTTTGACCACTGGATCCCTACACCACTTTGAAGATGATTTATGAATCTTTTTATTGAGGGAATTTTTTCTTCTGGTCCATACAATGCCTGCAATTATAGATTTGCCCTGTTTAAATAAGTAGAACTTGAATAACATAGTACATGTCACAAATTATGCTCCAGGAGAAAATCTGCCAGCAGTGATAATAATTACTGTTGATCAAAGTTTGAACTTATTGTACATGATCAAATCCTTACAGCAAAACATCTCATGAGTGTAAAGTTAAAAAAAAAAAAAGGAAAGAGAAAAAAAAAAGAAACAGTATTTTAAGCCGTTTGATCATGGGTCTGATGGTACTATCAAAGAGCTACCTGCAATAGAGTTTGCATGGAATCCTTATCAAGTGCACCAAAGAAGATTTCTTGTCCAAACATCTTCATGTAGCCTGCCGCAAGAGGTTTATCACTGGTCTGTGCCTTCCAGTCAGAGAGCTGCGTGACAAGAAGTTTGTTAGAATGTTCCTGGCGTTGGTAGGATTAACCCCTTACTACATTTTTTTCCTGCAAACGCACCGTTTTCAGAACTTCCCTCACATCAAATGCACTGTCAGAATCACTGTCAGGTAAGTGTCTTTTCGCTAACATCTCCTGCAGTCTTTCAGCTCTCAGTCCCACCTGTGTAAAGAAGTAAATCATAAATGAAAAAAGAAGTGTGGGAGGGATAACAAAACAGTGATATTAATCAGAGAAAAATTGTGGGAACGCCCATTTACCTCCAAAGGTTCAGCAATGTGTCCAACGAAATGGGCCCTGAATTTGGACAATGCTATTGATGGGAATATGCTGCCTACATTATTCAGTGTCAAAAATTGGGCTGCCATTCCAATCATAAGAGACTCTAAAGAGAAAGGAAAATATACAGTAAAACGCAAGCTCAGTTAGTTTTTAAAACCACAGAGTGCAGACTGTATCAATTTACTTATTGCATAATATGAGCAATACAGCATGACATGAGAGAGGCCAGAAGTCCCAGTAATAAAACTGATGGCATAAAACTGTCATAAACAGAATATTCTGCATATCTGAACTATTAATGGACAAAATTACAACTCCCCTGCTCCTTGCATAGCAATTATTCTATTTTTTCAATTGCTTCTGCTATATCATTTACATCCGGTCAGATTCTGTAACATCAGCTTATGAGGTGCATTTACAAGACATCATTCAATGTAACTTGACAATGGGGATCAGGAATTGAAACAGATTTGCCATCCTTTGCTAACAGTTCAGGGAAAGTGATATAGATGTCCTATCAGGACAGATGGTGAGGTGTAGATGTGTCTCCCAAATTACTCTAAGGCAGTTAAATACATCTAGTAATAAATGTTGTAACTCCTTACATGAAGTGGCACTAATTGCTCAGTAATTGTTAACTGTCTAGTAAATACAGAGCAATGTAATTTATATGTATTTCCTGTTCTTTAGGTTTATCATGCACAATGGGGCAGATCCTAGGGCATGGTTAATCTGTCGGATGGTTCTGTGCTAAGGTGGTTTAAAGCTCATCTTTGCACTCCCTTGATCTTGGTGCAGCTCTGTCCAGTTTAGTCCCTGTGCTGTGTGAAAGCAGCCTCAAGGCTCTTCTAAAAAAGCTGGGCTTCAACCACAAGACCAAAACCATATGTGAGAACCAGGATATCACAGGAGCATCCCTACTACACCTCCGTTCCTCCAGCTATGTCCACTCTTCCCTTGTTACACCAGCAGCGGCTAGTATGAGTGGCTGAAGAACTCCTATGTTAGATCTCTGCCACTGGAGGATCACCCTTACTTTGGAATTATACTTGACATACTGGTTAAACTGGCTTTAGGACCAGACAACACCAACAATGTAGCACAAAGTTGAATAAACTTTACCGAGACCCTATGTTGCTGCAATCCCACTACATAACACAGGAATCAAATGGAGAAAGGACTGGAGGCAACAAACTAAGCCATCAGGAGCTATAATTTTCATACTGTTCTCAATACAGCCAAGAGATGTCATTTTAGTGTGTAATGATCCCACATTGGATCACCCACTAAGGAGTAAATCTGGGGCTTTCAATGCCAGAAACACAGGTCTCTACCAATTGAGATAGGTCCATTAGCTAGTAGCATTAGTACTCTATTATCCTTTATATGAACCAGCCACTGATGTAGGACATGACACTTAGCCAGTGTGTTACAGGTGCATATTGTCTACATTCTAGGCCATGAAATCTTGTTGTTAATCCAAACATTGCTCCTACTGACGCTTAATAAGAATTGCTGCTTGTAAATGATTAGATGATTACACAAAATGTATTAACTTGAAGAGAGCATGGACATTTTCCATCAGTGTGTGTCAGTAACTCATACAGCTTGAGTATCAAATATTTTTAGTTTTCTGAGAAGATATTTACCAATATTTACCAATGGAAAATCGTGTCGGCACAGTCATATGATGCACTGTAGCCATTATAGCTAGAGAGATGTGGATACATATAAATTTATCTGACTAGATGACATATCTCGAGGAAGACTGAGAGACTGATAGAAAAAAACAGTGCTGACAAAAAGCAATGCTCAAAAAAATGAAACCCTAAAATATTAATATATGTGTTTTATTTAATTCTGTAATAATTTTTAGAGTATCTCCCTGAATGCATTTTAAAAAGTACAAAAGTTCACATAGCACGTATTAGTGACTGTATTTCTTCAGCCACTCTCTGGCTGCATCTCCAAGGTAGCAAACATGTGTATCATATATTACTGTGGTCGCTGTGGTGTGTACTATACTTATTTTCATTGTAGAGCAGATTAAATGGTCATGTAAAATACATGAAATAAAGGCAGAGCAATAACAAACACTACCAAGGCTTTGCAATAAAATAATAACATAATAATAATAATACATTAATAATACTCAATAACAACAAAATACATCTACAGTTATCACTCTAGGTTTAGAATGTTTCAAAGACTTGTTTTTCATTGATTTTTTACAAAAGTAGCTTTAAATATCCTGATGAGTTACAAAAGTGATAAAAACATCCAAATACAGAGGGACTGTGTTTATAGATATAAGTCCCCTAGTCTGCCAGCTACGTATGCCAAATTGTTGGGGCTGTCATGGTCATTTGTACGGGGGCACCACTTAAATAATCGCCATTATAAAATATAACTTGCATGAAAATAGCTAGAATTTGGTTGAGCAAGCATGTGTCTTCTTATCATGCTCTCTCTCTTCATACAGCTAATGGCCATACATTGCCTATGACCTGTGCATGAAACTCCCATGGACAGGAGTGGCATATCAACAGGATTCCATGCATGGATCTACTGTATTGTACAGGGGAATTAAGGGTATGATGGTGCAAGCAAAAGCTGTGGACGTAAATCTTAGTTGTTCATGGGAAAAAGAAATGTTTGTGTCTGAATATTTTCAAACTTGAATGCTTAAATATGGGCACCTATTTTCAGAAGTGTTGAACATTCACAGCTGCATTTGAATTCAGGGGGAGTTGTGGAGGCTCAGCACTTTTAGAAATCAGACCACTTATATTCAGTTTTGGTGCCCAACCATGGTTTGAAAACTTGGCCTATGTTTGCATTGTTCCTAGCCCATCATGGAAGCTATATTGGGCTGGCTGTGTACAACGTAAAATGCACATGTATATAAATTTCTTTAAAAGGAAGATCCTTAGCTATGGCATCATATTCCTGATGATGGAACATGGCTTCTATGCTTCCCCCGACCCTTAACTTATGTGTATTTTATTTCAAAGCCTACAGGTGATTAATATAGTTGGAGAAATCGGAGCCTTACCTCTAAACATACTAAAGCGGAAAACTTTGCTGAACCGATAGCCAGGTCTGTCAAGTTTGGGGCTGAGTATTCTGATAGCCATTCTGCAGGCAGAAGCCCTGAAAGATTCAGTGAATTGTACCATATTAACGTCTCTGTTGCAGTTAGCAGGAAAGCAAGTTTCTTTTTTAGAGAAATAATGTGTAGTCCCCTTACACGACTTGGAGATCCGGAGCTGTACTTGTGCCCAGAGCCCTCAGGGAAGTAAAGATGAAACTTGCCACTTGCATGCTAGGTTCTTTTAGCATTGCATTAGCTAAAGTCACCAAGACAGGAAGACCTGGTTTGGTTTGAAGCAGAACAAATGCAGCAATCATTCGGACTTGAGGATTAATTTTGTGGTTTAGGAACAACTCCAGGGTAATATCTTGTACCTGAAAATAGGAAATAGAATTTTAAGTTTCTGTATGTTTGAACATTTGCAATTAACTATTCATCTTTTCCCATCCTTTACCATAACTGCAGTACAAGTCTTGTGTTAGAAATAAAATCCATGCTTTATTTTTTCCATTTAATTCTTGCAAGTAATGTGGCAACAAAGTTCATAATTTTAAGTTTAGAAGGGACCATTATGACCATCTAGTTTGACCTTATCGGGCCAAAGGACCTCATCCAATGCATTTTGCATGAAACCCAGAACTTCTGTTTGAGCTATAGCAATTCCTTTAAAAAGCTAGTCAATCTTGGCTTAAAGACTTCAAGTGATGAAGAACCCACCACCTACCTTGTAAGTTGTTCCAGTGGTTAGTTACCCTGAATGTGCCTTTATTTTTAGTTTGAATTTGTCTAGCTTCAACTTCCAGCCACTGGATCTCATTATAGCTTTGTCTGCTAGACTGAGCAGCCCTTCTACTATCAGAAATCTCTTCCCCACATAGATACTTGTAGATTCTCAGCTTGATCCAAAGTACTTTAATGCTCAAGCTCTAACTGACCTGATGTTAACTCAATGATGTGGATTAGCAAATGTTAAAATAAAGGTGACTACAAGGATGCAAATATTTCCAAAATGTACACAACTATTTCAAATTAAGCAATGAAATGAAAGGGCACTTGGTAGGAATGATTAGTACAAATTTGTGTGTGTAGTAAACCACAAACCTGGGATCCCATTGTTTCTCATACAGTGGAACACCCAGTCATGGGCATTAAAATACGTCACATTAGGGTTTTTCCAGAAAGTGCATAATAAATGTAATGAAATAACTGCCTCGGCCACATGAGGAGTGCTGGGCTCAGGGGGAATCACAGCCACAGTACCGCTTTGAAACACCAAAGCAGCTTTTTCTTTTCCACTGAAGAAGAAACCATGGCTCAACCTCCATATCCCTGCTTATATATCTTATGTAACCTAGCAGCTGTTTCCTTATTTTTTCTGCTAAAAACACACTCTGGAGCAGCTAACCCTGGAGCCAATATATGGGATCAAAAATTGGGTATAACAGAAACCCTGATAAAGCCTCAGTGGGATGTTGTGAAGCTGACGTAAAGATTAATTAAAACCATATAATTTTTTTTTTGTTTAGAAAAAGAAAAGAAAACAATAATATTCCACCCTGAGTGATTAAAAAGGAATCTTGAACGTAAGTAAAACTTGAAAACATAAGGTTTCTGGTTTAGAATAAGACTGTTTTCAGGTGAGAGGAGCCGTAAAGCCAGATCTGTGGAGTAAGAGACTATTTTGTGCTGTCTGATCAGAATGTAATTCAAAGACAAAAGTCACATTTAATAAATGTTCTGTTTATGGCTTAAACACACACAATGTCTATACATTAATAATTAGGATTCAAATCTGCAGTATCTATTAGATATCAATATCTATCTAAGATATGGCCCTGATTAATGATTAGATGTGACACTTAATCTATAAAAAGAAAAGGAGTACTTGTGGCACCTTAGAGACTAACAAATTTATTTGAGCATAAGCTTTCATGAGCTACAGCTCACTTCATCCAATGCAGTGAGCTGTAGCTCACGAAAGCTTATGCTCAAATAAACTTGTTAGTCTCTAAGGTGCCACAAGTACTCCTTTTCTTTTTGTGGATACAGACTAACACGGCTGTTACTCTGAAACCTGACTTAATCTATAGTTAATATAAATCTTTGGAAAACCTTGCTTTGTGGGTTCTCTCTGACTCCAGTGTTGAAATAACACTAAATACATTTTGATCTGTAACTTATCTCTCATGTATCTTTGGAAAATAAGATTTTAAATGCAAATGCTGACAACAACCCAACAACAGAATAATGAACGTATCCATATACTAAGCTATTCCATGCATTCTGAAATACTGAAGATGAATGTGTCATATGGAATTGGAGGTTCCCACTCATGAATAATGGAACTAATGTAAAGAAAACCACCAGATGTATGTATGAAATGCCACCCCTGTCTTGCAACAAATAGAAACAACACGTTGAGCTTATAGCACATGCTAAAGAGGGATTCTTTGTTTCCTTACCTTTCGTGGGTCTCTCTTGGCCAGGTTTGTCAGGGCCATCACTGCACTAATTTGAACCCTGACTGGGAGATCAGAAGCACCAGGTGCATATCCTGGCATAAACTTCATGATGCGCTTTAGAATGGCTGGATGTCCTACATTCCCAAAGGCCTTCAGGGCCAGGACCATTTCTTCCTCCTTAGCCCTGCCAGATGCTTCAGCTGCAAAATCATATAGTGGCTGAAAAACAAAAAGAGGGTTTAAGTTCCAGTTCGGTTCTGTAGACATACCCTGAGGGGGTGGCTGAGAAGTTTTAGTGTGTTCAGATAATTTAATGAAAGTATTTTAAGTTGCATTTAGTGCTCATAGAAATTGCTGGAAGTTTATCCCTGAAGACTGAAGTTGTGAATTTGTTCTTGGAACAAGTACAGCATAGACAGCAACAGTGCACAGTTCCTCACCAATATACCTTAAACATGATGGGTTAGATGTATAAAGGCAAAAATGGCAGTTAGGACCCAATTCCATTGACTTTCAATGGGAGTTAGGAACCTGGCATTGGTGCATTTGAAAATCTTTCCTTCCCTGGTTAAGAACCCCCCCTAGATGCAAGAAGACAGGCTAGTCTTTGGGCCCATTCTGTCATTAGGCTCTTTTATGAGATGGTTAATAAATGTTCCAATATCTACCAACTGGAGTGGCAGTTGTAACATGGACTTATAGGGAGACCACCAGGCCATTTCATTCTGCTACTTGTAAAGCAAGAAAACCCTAACATTTTTTAGGGCACTGGGCAGCATTTGTACTTGTGATCTAAACAGCTGTCATTTCTGAGTGTGTGGCTAGAACTAACTCTTGCATGGTAGATAACTCTTCTGACTGTACAAACAAGGGCTGAATGAAAAGAGCCAAAGTATCATAGAATTTTTTCAATACATCAGATAGGCCTAAAGAGCAACTTTTGTTTTTTAAGACATCATATTTTTAATCTATTAATCTAGCTCAAAACTTGCACAGGATAATACTAATTGGCAAATCCAAATTTAAAACATTTCCTGTCTGACCCCTTGCTTTGCTTTAAACACTTCCCATTTCCCAGTAACATTTGTCTTAATTAGCTGGGAGGCAGTGTAGCCTAGTGGAGAAAGAGTGCTACACTGCAGTGCAGGACACCTGGGTTCTATTCCTGGCTCTGCACTTGGCCTTCTGGGTGACCTTGTGCAAGTCAGTTTAGCCCTCTATGCTTCTGTTTGCCCATCTGCAAAATGGGGAAAATGGTACTTAACACCTTTGCAAAGCACTTTAAGATATACTGAGGGAAAACACTGTATAAGAGCTAGATATTATTATTGCCAGTGGGCAGTGTAGTCTATTGGTTTAAGTAGATGACTGGGTGCCAAGATTTCTGGGTTCTGTTCCTAGCTCTACAACTGACTCACTGCATGACTTTAGGCAACGAATTAACCTTTGTGTTCCTTAATGTGCACATCTCTTACATGGTTATATTTATCAGTACCATGGAAGTGTGTCATGAGACTTCACTATAAAGCATTTTGAGAGCCTCAGATAAAAGGTGCCATGAAAGCGTCCAGAATGATATGCTTTGTCCTTCCAACCTTAATTGTCTCATTTACAATTTTTCCTTTAAAAAATAAATAAAAGAAATTCAGGCTGTGTACCTGGAGAGCTGACTCAGGGCAGGAGTCTGAAATGGAGCAGTACTTGTGAACCAATGAGCCATAGGCTAGATAGGCAATTCTGTGAAGGAAAGTATCTGAGCGTGGATGTGTCTTTTTCAGGATGAGCTAGAGAGAAAATATTTGGACATTACCATCACTAGCAAGAAATAATTTAATTTTTATTTTGCATTTATGTACATTTTATATAAATTCGCATGCAGGAAAAGGCAATGCATAGCAATTGACATTCCCTGAAAGGTTGGCTTCTTAGCTGATCAGTGGCTGTTACTGTATTTCACATAGTGACCATGCGGTATCTCTGAGAAATTCCAGATTTTGATCTGGGTATTAAGTTCTTGTTGTAATCCAATGGGTGAAAAATCACCCTAGTAGGGAATTTTACTGAGAACTGAGGAGCACATAGTATTCATAAAACTATGAGTGTTCTTTGTGGTTTTATAATTGCCTGAACTGTAGAGACAAAAAGCTAAGATGAATACTAAATATATCCCAATAATTCAGACTGATGGGTATATTTACCATGAAACCATATGCTAACATCAGACTTGAATCCATCATTTTCTGCCCCATAGGTGAACATCTAATCACTGGTCTGCGCTGACATTCATAGAGGGCCAAGTTTTGCTCTTAGAGGCATGGCTCCCATTGAAATTAAGAGGAAATGACTATATGCTTCTAAGGGCAGAATATGTACAAAATTTTATAACGAGCCTGATTCTACTCTCTCTTACACAAGTTCATTCCAGACTGGCATAATTCCCTTGACTTCAGCAGAATTACTCTGATTTATACCAGTCTTGATAGGACAATCAGACCAAATATATTCCGATAAAGCAAAACATGTATTTCTTACTGTCTAGCTGGTTGTGAGGCCCCTGAGTTACCAATCTTGATCTAACTATAAAGTTAATTTGGACAAAAGAATTCCAGAAATCAGTTTGCAACATTAAAACGACATCACTTAAGAATATTCAACTGTTTCATTCTGGCTTCATCTATGTCCCTTTGATTGCTTCCGCCCTGCCAACACAGTCAGGAAATAAACTCTTTTCAACCTCACTAGGGGATATAAAAGCTTTGTATTTTCACAGCCTTTGCAATCTTGCCAAAGGAGTAAATACAGTGGATGCTAGAATTGATGAAGAAAGAACAGAGAGTGTAAAAACATCCTACCACAGCTTCCTCTATCACATCACGGGTTGGTGTACTTAAATGGAAGCCCACAAGCACTGCTTGAGCTCCTTCCAAGTCACTGAGTTCTTTCCTTTCAATTTTATGCCTTAAGAATCTGATTGCACTCTGAGTGGAAATGGCAGGAATTATATCCAAAATCAAGCGCCTGCAATAGGAAAGACAATGATCATTTTCCAGATCTGCATCCGAACACATTAATTTCAGATCTTCAATCATAGTTTTAAGAATTAAAGTTACTATTACCTATATACAGGCCGGCTAGAAAATTGTTTCCAAACTGACTCATAGATATCATCATTTGCTGCCCGGAAAAGCTGTACCAGCTGCAGGAATTTTGGTGGAGCATCACTAGGAACCCGCTCATGTGTGTGCTCTACCAGATACCGCAGGTTTTCCACTATCTGCAAGAAAATTAAAATATACAGTAAGATCAAATATGTTCCCTTTCCCACATGCATCAGCACCAATTTACAGCAAAATATTTACTTCCAGCACTTAATTTTACCTGACTTTCCAAGTTTTTGATTTTGAATAACTGGAAGGGAAGCTGAAGCAATTCACTGCCAAAATGGTACCGAAGTGATCCACGTTTCTGGAATTCTGTTGATGGGACTTCTGGGGAGTGTTTTTCCACATCACTCAGTACCAGCTTCTGCCTGCAAAGGAGAAACCCAGTGAAATAACATCATGAGACCCAGTGTGCAAAATGAAAATTTTGCTCTTAATATTATTATGTATTTTTACAAAAGTGTTTTGTTATCAAGATGCAAAGTTATTCACAAACATATGCACTGAAATCCAGAGAGAGAGCCTTATCCTGAGAGAACCTGCAACTCCCAATACTCAGAACCTCTCAGGGTAAGATCACAGGACATGTGTGTGTTATATGTACATTTGCATACTGAAGTTCAGACAAAAATAACTGACTAGATCCTTCATCAGAAATCATCACTGAATTTTAAGCCTGACTACAGGTTTCCTGAGAGTTCTTACACACCTCTGCACTTTCTAGTTTCAAATGGAAGTGAAAAAAGTGAAATACGGCAAGAAATATTACAGTCTCTTCTTAAATTATTACTGACCCAACTGTAAGCAGAATGTCCTGGGGTTTTCATAAGATGAAATGTTCTCATGAGATTTCCAACCTGATTTCTCAAGCAAAGAGATTCAGATACTATGGAAAAACATCCAAACGTCTAGTAGCTTTTCAAACTGAGCCGAACCATCTCCCTTCATCATCAAGCAGTTTTAACGAAAGGCTGTGTTTGTAAACATTTCTTATCCTTGCCATATTTGTGGCTAAAGGGTTGTGTCCTATCCTGCCAATTACATTTAAATAGTCCATTTAGGACAATATAATACTTTTAGGTATTTGAGTGAACATCTGAGAACATTCCAGTAGATATATGATTGTACTGAATAGTCTCTAAAACCTCCATAGAAAATTGGCATGTTCACTTTGGAATCTCTACAGAGATCCTTGGAAACATTCCACACTCTGTTTCTATCGGACTTTCATAAGATCTTTGCAAAATTATTATAGATTCATAGAATATCAGGGTTGGAAGGGACCTCAGTAGGTCATCTAGTCCAACCCCCTGCTCAAAAGCAGGACCCATCCCCAATTAAATCATCCCAGCCAGGGCTTTGTCAAGCCTGACCTTAAAAACTTCTAAGGAAGGAGATTCCACCACCTCCCTAGGCAACGCATTCCAGTGTTTCACCACCCTCCTAGTGAAAAAGTTTTTCCTAATATCCAACCTAAACCTCCCCCACTGCAACATGAGACCATTACTCCTTGTCCTGTCCTCTTCCACCACTGAGAATAGTCTAGAACCATCCTCTCTGGAACCACCTCTCAGGTAGTTGAAAGCAGCTATCAAATCCCCCCTCATTCTTCTCTTCCGCAGACTAAACAATCCCAGTTCCCTTAGCCTCTCCTCATAAGTCATGTGTTCCAGACCCCTAACCATTTTTGTTGCCCTTCGCTGGACTCTTTCCAATTTATCCACATCCTTCTTGTAGTGTGAGGCCCAAAACTGGACACAGTACTCCAGATGAGGCCTCACCAATGTCGAATAGAGGGGGACGATCACGTCCCTCGATCTACTGGCAATGCCCCTACTTATACATCCCAAAATGCCATTGGCCTTCTTGGCAACAAGGGCACACTGCTGACTCATATCCAGCTTCTCGTCCACTGTCACGACTAGGTCCTTTTTCGCAGAACTGCTGCCTAGCCATTCGGTCCCTAGTCTGTAGCTGTGCATTGGGTTCTTCCGTCCTAAGTGCAGGACCCTGCACTTATCCTTATTGAACCTCATCAGATTTCTTTTGGCCCAATCCTCCAATTTGTCTAGGTCCCTCTGTATCCTATCCCTGCCCTCCAGCGTATCTACCACTCCTCCCAGTTTAGTATCATCCGCAAATTTGCTGAGAGTGCAATCCACACCATCCTCCAGATCATTTATGAAGATATTGAACAAAACCGGCCCCAGGACCGAACCCTGGGGCACTCCACTTGACACCGGCTGCCAACTAGACATGGAGCCGTTGATCACTACCTGTTGAGCCCGACAATCTAGTCAACTTTCTACCCACCTTATAGTGCATTCATCCAGCCCATACTTCATACTTTATAAAAATACTCTATAGACAATCCAGTAGGGAGCTCAATACAAGGCTATACAATTAACAGAGATTTTTCCTCTCCAGAAAAGTTATACAATATTACTGGAAGGGCATTGGGGTCAGGAAGTATAATGCCAGGTACACTCAGATAGGTTTCTCTCCCGCTTCCAGGACATGCCAACTCTATAATATACCTTCAGTTCTGAAGTATTGGGAAGAAGCATATGTGCATATATGGGAAAATGAATATCAAGGCTTGGTCTACACTTAAAACTTATATCAGCATAACTATGTCAGCTGGGAGTGTGAAGGGGGAAATAAATCTAGTGACACAGCAATGCCAAATCCACCAATGTAGATTCATCTTGCCAGCAGACACACTCCTCATTGGCATTAGCTAATGCTGTTCAGGGAGATGGTATTAGTATACTGGGAGAACCCCTCAACATACGCTGAATCTACATTGGAGACTGGCATAGGCTGGCATACGCTTTGTAATGTAGCCATGGCCTAAGAGTGGGGTTAAAAGTTAAAATAATAGTAAAACTCCCCCGACTTCAATGGTTGCAGTGTTAGGCCAGCGGTGAACAGTTTTGAAAATCTGACCCCACATGTGTTACATTTTACTTCTGACTTATATGAAATATGTATTTAAATAGCTTTAGTTATCTGACAAATGCTTTCTAGAGACCCAGACTGCAGGCCCTCCTCTTACTACCCCTTATGTGGTTGGCCAATTCTGCTGGACAGTTCATGGAGAATAGGAGCAGGGAGCAGAGCAAACCCACTGCTGAGTCTCTTTTCCACTCTCTGGGGGCATCAAGCAGCCCTTGAGGAACAGGAAGGAAGCAGTCTTTGCTCTCCTGAAGATAGAGGGCCAGGTCCTAAGTGGGTGGAAATCAGAACAGGTCCATTGGCTCCAAGAGAGCTCTGCTAATTTACAACAGCTTAGGATCTGGCACCTGGTCTGCAATTATGCCTGATCCTTTCCTGGGTTGCATCAAACACCTTCCATCATCACCACCCAAATGTGTATCCACATCTGATCCTTAGAGTGTAAAAGTTCTTTAAAATACCTTATCCTACCCCCCGCTTGTTCACTGTTTAACCAAGTTATTATGCCCACTTACACTCCTCTTTGATAATTAATTGGTCTCCAGCCCTTTATTCATTTTTGTTGCAGTTCTCTGAATTCCTAATTTGTCCTTATCTTTCTGGTATTGCAGTGCCTAGACCCATAGGCTATAGTGGAGGAGCCAGTTCCTCACAGAATTTTATGGAGCAATGCCAGTTGATGTAAGCTAGGATCTGGCTTGAGGTGAAATATATCTAAGTGATAAAAAGAACTCTCTCTCTTCCCTACTTTGAGACATGATGCCTCTGTATAAAAAGCCCATAACTAGAGCTGGTCATAAAATAATTTGTTTCTGTGGAAAATTTTGTAGAAAATGAAAAAAAATTCATAAAGAAAACATGAAACTTTTTGGATTTCAGCTGAAAACTGGAAGGTTTAAATTTTCAGCCAAATATTTTCAGGTTTTGGCCACAATGTTTTTGACATAAATTCAAAATTTTCCACAGACAGCAAACATTTTAGTGTAACATTTCTTTGGTTAAAACCCCAGTTACCCATCAAAAGCAGTTGTGATGGAAAATTATCAACCAGTCATACCCATAACTGCATTGGCAACATGGCAAATTTCAAACTGCTGTGAATATCCACATGGGTCTCTTTCAGTGACGTGGTTTTCTAGGGATCTTCCTTTTAGTGAGTAACTGTGTGCCAGAGTATTTTACTACAAATACATTAGTTTGCATTTTTCAGATCAAATTGCATTTATCTTGGTTTTTAAGGCATAAATCAAATATCCCAGAGAAATAAACTCATCAAATACTGCCAACTTTAGCTAGCAAAATTTGGATAGTGATGCACATGTTTCAGATTTATGACCAACAGTGAATGTTGATTTTTTTATTATCTGGTTGAGGCTTTATATAATGTAATATTGCCAGTCAACATGTGGTAGGTGCAGAGGTCTCATTTCAGTTAGGGAATTTGACTAGATGCTGAATTAGTGAATTAAAGGGATATGTAATTTTGGATCAGCTATGCAAATGCACAGTACCTTGCTTCTACGACAGCATCCCCTCCAGTGACCTCATTGAATGGTGTGAACTGATGGACTTCTTGGACATCAGCTTGTACAATTAAAGCCTCCTCATGGGAAGATTTGATTTTGTAATTGTAAGTAGTGGTTGCCCGGGAATACTTGTTTTTCTACAGAATGAAAAAGTGACAAATAGAAAGTTATTTAACCATGAATAGAATTCATAGATAGTAGGCTCAGAAAATATCACTTATACCATCCAGTGTGACCCATTTGTTTGCAGGGCTACTCTCTATACCAGGGGTGGCCTATATATTCATTGTATGCACCTCTCTTCAGAAGTTAATATGCAGCTCCTTGTAGAGGCACTGACTCTGGGGCTGGAGCTACCGGCGCCAACTTTCCAATGTGCTGGGGGGTGCTCACTACTCAACCCCGGCTCTGCCACAGGCCCTGCCCACCTCACTCCTCCCCTTCCCCCCCACCCCGAGCCTCCTGCACGCCACGAAACAGCTGATCGGGAGGTGCTGATCGGCGGGGCTGACGGTGGGTGGGAGGCTCTGGGAGTGGGGTCGGGGAGCTGCTAGGGGGCTGCTGATTTATTACTGTGGCTCTTTGGCGATGTACATTGGTAAATTCTGGCTCCTTCTCAGGCTCAGGTTGGCCACCCTGATCTATACTATTCCCATTAATGTCCTATGTGAACTAGCATATTTACATAATGGAGTTCAATCCCATTGCTCATGCTGCTAACAATTTTAAGCATAAACTTTTCTTTCCTTAAATTTAAGCAACTGATCATTTTTTTGAGAGGGCAGAATTTTGTTCTGAACAGAGACAGCATGAGAGATATGTACCCCTATTCTGATGGCATAATGTGATACAGAGGCTTTGCATTGGCCAATACACATGAATACCATGCAGAAAGCAAATATAGATAATTAAATATAACAAGCCTGATTTGCCTTCTGCTTAAAGTGGTCTAAATCAGGAGCCAATGTAGTAAATGGGTGCAAAATGAATGCATGTGAGAGAAGAATCAGAAGAATCAGAATGTGTTTAAATATAAATCCATCTTACTTACTTCTCTGCAGGCTGGGCACTGGCAAGTGTATGCAGCACCAGTGAACATCTGAGCTCTCTCATCACAGCTGTTTAGGTCCTTGGATTTTGTCACATAGATTTGACTTGCTCGCCTGTTTTCTTGAATCACATAGGTTGTATTGCAAACACCATCGATCCCAGCCTGCCAAAAATTAGAACCAATCAGCTCTCAGAGAATGCTGCTCTTGATGCAGAATTGCTGGATGCCTAACATGGAGATCTACTATGCTCTGACCATATTTAAAAACCATGCATATACTGTCAAAGGGCCAAAGCAGGGGTCCCATTGAAAGCACGGACAAAATTCCCACTGATTTCAGTGGGACAAAATTTCGGCTCAGTGGGAGGCTTGTATCAATTGCCAATTAGGGACTATGGAATAGGAGATATAATTTGGAAAAATTAATAAATATGTGTTGAAATAATGTGATCAGTCAGAATTAAACTTCAAAAGCAAGAGATTTTTGAGTTGCGGCCGATACTTTGCCCTTAAAAATCCCATTATACCTAATCTCCAGCTCATACATTCCTCTATTAGAGGCTTCAGAATAGCAGATAATCTGACACACAATGTGAGCAGCAATAATTACACATTAGTTAAGAACAGTGGAGCTTTAACTGTGGATTTTCTTGCATTTGAAGGTTTAACTCAGATGTTTAATACTACTTTAAGATTTTATATGTTTAAGGTGCATTGGTTCTCTTCAGTCAGTGAACAGGACTTCTACTAATGTTAAAGGGAGATAAGTGAATGTATTTTGGGGAGGAATGGTTCATTTCCTAACTTTTCATTGTTAATGGTAGTGTACAATTGCTCCAGGGACTTAGAGGTACGGGACCTGATTTTGTAGACCTCAGTTAAAACTCCCATTAATTAAGTGATCTCCTGTAAGCCATTTATCACCTGATTCTGCATTCCTTAAATACCCCACACTCTTATTGACCTCACAGGAGTTTAGGAGGCACAGGAAATACAGAGTAACGCTCTGCAGCTCAGGTTTACCTTATCGTGATGCCTATCTTCCTTTGTAAAGTGCTTTGAGATCCTCAGGGAAAGATCCCAAGGTTTATTAATCAGTAAATGACTGAGTAAAATAATGAAAACTCAGAGAAGATTTCAGTAGCTAACCCCATATGCGCAGGTTGGCAATGGACTACCATATGTAACGAATTCATTTAGAAATAATGAAGATGTGCAACTAGGCATTGCAAAATACGGCATATACTACAGCTGCAAGGTCTCAATATGGTGCTGCGGGTGGAATAAATATTGTGAAAAATATGAGATCCTGAAGCTCATTTCCAAACCTTTTTCTGATCATATCAAGTAAACAAAAGTTGTTTTGATCTACATTTGCAATACAAATATTTTGAAAGCACAATAATATCAATGAAATGAAACCCAACCTCATCAATGTAAATATATCTATGCAAAACTAAATAAATTTCAATCTGTGTGGTGAATTTCAATGTGGGGAGACTTAAAAAGGTATTAAAACCCATAAAACAGTGGAAATTCCAACAGAACATTAAGTACAGCTGTAAATGCTATTATAATAACACAACAGCATATGTACTATATTCCTTCTCAAATAGGACCTAAAGGAGATTAAAGTATACATGATTTCTTAGAGACATCAAATTGCTATTATTTCTAGATGAAATGTTAATGATATGCAGAGGGTTTAAGCTTATTTTAATGCATTATTAACATTTTTTTAGGCTAACATTATAGCTTTCAGAGTGGTTTCCTTTTTCCTTTTACCACCCAACAAGCCATGTTTTCTTAGTTTCTAATGTTGTTAATGGACTCCTGAAATCATTTAATCAATTAGATTAAAAATCTATACATTTCTCTGGACCATTAAGGTACAGATCTACCAGTGGTGGTACAGAATAAATGAACAACTTTCCTCTAAGTCAAGATGTTGCTTACTAGTAAATATACACTTAACACTGAATTCAGATAAATGTGTTAGAAGAACCAGAAGTGTATCCTTATTCAAATTACACCCAAACATAATTACCAAAGCAAAGTGCTCACCTCCTGCAAGTTATATGTATTCTGTGACTTCTTCAGGGTGAATTCTAGCACATTCAGAAATCCTCTATAGAAATTAAGCCCATCATCTGAGAGAGAATCTGGAGCCATAAGATTTCCAACACGGCCATTACTGTATTCAAATTTGATGGGGTTTCTGAGTTGTGCTGAAAATGCCTGGGTCAGTTTAGATGACCGTGCGAACGGCTCTCGAGGCCAGATACCATTGTATTCTGCTGCTTCGAGTGAATAAACCTGGGAGAGAAGGGGAAATAGATTTCCTATTAACGTTTTTCCATTAACTTTTCTTCTTAGGATTTTAGGAAGCAATACCTCAAGATGAAGCCATGACAGGGACTTGCGGATGTGAAAAGTGGCTGAGTGGGATGTTTCCGCACATACCCATTCTTTGTCTCAATTCACAGATCATCTGTCTGGCCCAAAGGTTGGCCTGTGTACAGAACTGAGCCAGAGAAGAGCCACGCTAAGCTGAACTCGACCATCAGAACTGCAGAAGACCTGCAGTAAATTGTGGGGAAAGTCAACGCTGTATGAAGGAGCATTAACTTTGGTGGCACTTGCTATGATCCCCCTAACTGAAGTCACAAAGCACAGCCAAGGGTAGAGCTAATAGTGACGTGGCTGCTGAGCTATTCTTAGAGTCACAATTAGTGTGGGGGTTAGAAAGCAGAGTGGAGGAATTGTCCCTCCCTGTACATTTTACTAGAGAACCTTGGGGTTGGAAGCTCAGAGAGCTGTAGATCTCTCTTCTCCACTTCATATTGTAGCCCTGCTGCAATGCAAAACTCTCCCCCTCCCCTGCCTCCCGCGCAACACACTACCCCATCAGTGTGCTTCTGCCATATAAGTTCAGTCTCCAGAGCCCATTCAGTACTTGGGCTTTCAGTGGAGACTGCCAACATGGGTGAGAGTTATGCTGGTGGTTTTATGATGAAGACACTTGTCTACTGGGAAGGGGTCTGACACCATTAATTTTGACTTGAGGTGGATATGAACCAGTGGCCTACAAGTGAAAGGTTAATCTTCTGCGCCATTCACTTCTCCAAAACCACATGCTTTAAATTTAACAGCATAAAAATAAACTTCCCCTGTAGCTGAAAGGGCATACCATGTTACATAACCAAAGAGAGAAATTTCCTGTTGTCTTTCATTATATCCTATAAGAATACACAACAGCAGGCAGCTACTTCAGTTAGAAAGTTCCTGCACTTTTCAGGCACTTATTAGGAGACAGCCACTAGTCTTTCCTATCTAGAATTTAAATTTGCCAAGTGAAATCTGTTAAAAAGATGATTTTTCTTCCACACACATACAAGACTAAATGGAACCAGTCCAGATCAAGGGGTATGTTTCAATACATTCATTGGAAGCACACATAGGCTTACATTAAAGATCAAAATCATTTTCATATAATCAGAAATCTTTAGTAATTACTCAGAAATGTTAATGTCAGCATACAATAAAGGAATACAATCTCAGTGTAGCACAACATGGCACTTCCCCACTGAAGCTAAAGAAACAGCCAGAAAAAAATACTTATGCCAGATATCGAAATACATCCAGCTGCTATAATATGTTTATTTCTGTTTGTTTGCTAGTTGCAAAATCAGTTGATTAAATAATCGTAGGTTGTAGAGTTTGGGAATAATTGAATTGATCCAGTAATAAATTATTATGCATTTGAAATTACATTCTGTTGTCTCCCTGACCACAAAGCAGAAGAAATCCTTCAAGCCCAAGGTTGGCTTGAGCTGAGAATTACCTGACAAAGTGCAAATAGAATATAGAAAACTGCATAAAAAAATAACAGTGTCAGTTACATTCTGCCTGAGTAAGCAAAACATATGATGAAACTTAATTATTTCCCCAAAGCTTGGGAAAAAGAGTCATGTAGGAAGATAATTTCAGCTTTCACATTGGATACATTTTCTTACCCTAATAAGACAAAGTTTTGGCCCGATACCACTGATTTCCACTTTACATTTTACTTTTATTCCAGCTCTTGCAAGTCCTCTGTCTGGAAGTCCACTGAGAAATACACTTTCATAATCATATGTGTAAGCCTTGTTTTCTTTGAAACCAGGTTCTGTAAAGAAACAATGCTCCGTAAACATTATAGAGAACCTATAGGATATATTTTATTATACTAAGCTCCAAATAGGAAAGATCAATTTGTTCATTTTAATATTACTTCTGAAGCACATTAGCAGTTGTAAAACTAAATTAAATATTCATACACCTTTCAGATTATATTTCAATTGCACTCATTAGAATGATATAATCTGATAGGAAAAATACTTACCATAATTAAGATGCTGACTCCCTGAAAGAGAAAAAAATATAGAAATTATGACAAAGAGTCATTTTACAATTTTTTTTAAAAAAATTACTGTCCAAATTTTTATCTCAACCTGTGAAGTACATACTGCATAATACTTTCTAGTTAATGATGTTAATTTTTCAATACAGATTTTTATTCTAAGGTCAGAATATATCCAAATTTTCCTCCCCTAGACAATGGAGAATTTGCAATCGGGTTTTCTTTTCTATTTATGCAAATTTGAAGTTTATATTTATAAATGAACACAATTAGTCTCTTAAGCCTTATTCAAAAAAGTCTCTGCTAGAAACCTATCCAGATAGATAAGGTGCTTACTTACCCACAAGGGTTAAAGTCAGAGCTAGAATTAAGTCCCTCATTATGAAGGATAAGCTAAAGGTGAATGTGCCGGGTTCTCTTTTATAAAGGCATAGTGTATCATGTGTTCATCGAAGTGAGGTTCCAAAATAAATAAGCATATTTCAGAATCAGTATTGATCAATCAAAAACCAAACATTTCTTGGGGTAGGAATGCTGTTAATGCAAACCTATTGGATAATTTAGACCAAGTGTATCTTTTCTATGAAATATGGAATCTATTTTTGATATTTCTTGTTTTCACCCTTTTTCCCATTTCCACACACACATTTCTACAATAATTCAACAACTGGCAATAAATATTTGGGCTTACTTTAAGAACAGTGGAGCCAGATTCACAGCTGATGTAACTCAGCCTAGCTCCATTGAATTCAGTGAAGTCTTGATGATTTACACCTCCTGCGTATCTAGACCACAAACTCTTTGAGACATGCATCAGTTCTTCAAAGTGACATAATCTTAAAGGAGGATTAGTGCATGATTTAATCTTCTAGTGACTTAGATTTGTGCATGCTGCTTTCGGTCACAATCCTGCAGAGAAAACCATGCAAATGCAGAGCCCCACTGAAGTCAGTGAGGCTAAGTGACTGCGCATGGCTCCCCCTGCAGTTCTCTTTGCAGGAGTGGGGTCTTATTACAGACTTGTGTGAAGCTATCTGGGGAGAGCAATCCCCTCAGTACTCCCTCAGATTCTGTTGCTGGTGACATGCGTATCAATCTTGAATAAATGGGCTGGCCATTTAGGTCAATGGCATTACTCTAGATTTACACCATAAAAATGAGAGGAAAATTCACCATTTTAATGGGAGCACAGAATCACAGGGCTTGGAGAAACCTCGAGAGGTCGTCAAGTCCATACCCCTCTGCTGAGGCAGGACTGTGTATACCTAGACAAGTGAACCTATTTTGCTGTGTGATATCTTAAGAGGAGACTGTACGAAAAGGCAGTGGGTAAAATTTTCAAAAAATCTGTGTGTGTTAGGTGCGTTACATCCCATTGACTTTGAAAGGAATGGCCACTAAATCACTTAGGTGATTTTGAAAATGTTACCCACTACCTTCCACTTGTCTTATATAACTTTTTGATGCCCAACTTGTTGTAATAATGGCAATTATTTTAATCTTCCTTTGGAAAAAGTTCACAATGTGTTGCAAATCCTATTTCTCCCAAAACTAAGAGAACCTCATTTATGCACATTTTGAATGAGCTTATGTCCATTTTGAATGTAACCTTGCCTTAAGGGCAAATGTTTTATGTAAATTACATATCAAGTAAAAGACATAATTTTCAAGTGGCTGGGTGCTAAGGTTGTTCTGTGCAGAGGGGAGGAGAACTCAAATATACATCTAGTATTTTTCTTTGAGGCTGTGAAAGTTTAAAAAGTGCTTGCAAGCTAGATGCACATGCAGGCAGCTAAAATACATCCTTAAAAGAAGAAAAAGATTTCCTTAGGATGCTACTTCATTAAGAAGAAGAAGAAGTAGGAAAAATGGTGCTGGATTTTTAAGGCTGATTCTGGGCCTAAAAATCTATTCTGTGGAGGCCCCATTGACTAGTTCCCTCTTATCCAGATCCATATTTAGGTCGTTGGTTCAGTGCCAGTTCAGATGGTAGAATACCACCTTATAGAATAATCAAGAGTAAATGGGTTTTCCTTAACATTTTCTCTTCAGATTGTTAACTAGACCCTCATGTTTCCCATCTTGTGGCTATCTGATGAGATCACTGTGTTTGCAGGCAATAGGGGTTCAGTGGCATCCATTTGCAGGTAGCATGTATATTGCCATAAGTGGCTTTATTAAGAGATGGATTTCAATGGAGTTACACCACCATAAAACTGGAAGGACACAGTGGCGAATCAGGCCCATAGTGTGCATCAGTAGCTTCCAACTTTGAAATTGGAACTGTCATTTGGTCTTATTAACTGCTATCAACTCAGCCTTCAATTTTCAGTGGGGCCTAAAGGAGTTTGATGCCCAACTATCATTGACTTTCAATGGGAGATGGGACACCTACCTCTATTGAAAATGTCAGCCTAAAAGAATGTCCCATTCTGCCTTTCCAAGTATCACCATCTTTCCCAACTCACATGTTCCGTCCACTTGATGTTTCCCCATCAAAGATGTAATCTGCATAATGTGGAGAAAGAGACAGAAAGTTTGCACGTCTCTAAATAAAATGCTACAAAAATATATTAAAGAGGTGGCAGTGAATAGCCCAAGAAGATCTTTGAGACCTGGAGTTCGAATATTAAATGTGTAAGTGCGTACTCTCTCATTAACTTTCTTTTAAGAAACTCTAATTTAATTTCAATACGATTTAGTTACTGTTAATGAGAAAAGTGTGAGAGACATGAAAAATTCACTGACTGGTTTCAGAGTAACAGCCGTGTTAGTCTGTATTCGCAAAAAGAAAAGGAGTACTTGTGGCACCTAAGAGACTAACCAATTTATTTGAGCATAAGCTTTCGTGAGCTACAGCTCACTTCATCTGATGCATACTGTGGAAACTGCAGAAGACATTATATACACAGAGACCATGAAACAATACCTTCTCCCACCCCACTCTCCTGCTGGTAATAGGTTATCTAAAGTGATCACTCTCCTTACAATGTGTATGATAATCAAGTTGGGCCATTTCCAGCACAAATCCAGGTTTTCTCACCCTCCGCCCCCGCCCCTCCCCTCCCCCCACAAACTCACTCTCCTGCTGGTAATAGCCCATCCAAAGTGACCACTCTCTTTACAATGTATATGATAATCAAGGTGGGCCATTTAGATAAGCTATTACCAGCAGGAGAGTGGGGTGGGAGAAGGTATTGTTTCATGGTCTCTGTGTATATAATGTCTTCTGCAGTTTCCACAGTATGCATCCGATGAAGTGAGCTGTAGCTCACGAAAGCTTATGCTCGAATAAATTGGTTAGTCTCTAAGGTGCCACAAGTACTCCTTTTCTATTCACTGACTGTATAGTTTTCTTACCCCTTTGCCTTTGTTGATTAGGGCATTAAGTATATAATGGTGACTGTTGGAAGTATTTGATAAAATGCAAGTCTATTACTAATGAAGGAAATACTTATTTTTTTTGCAATCACATTATTTGCAGACTATAAAAGTGGCTGTATGTATAATATTTTCTGAGTGGTAACATTCAGAATTCTGCTGCTTCTGTTACTGTTCTTTAATTCTACTGTAATCAATGATATAACTCAATGATATAGCCTGACCGCTGCAGTAATATTGTGCCATCATGATGAACTGGCCAGGCTTGCATAGTACAAAATGTTGAAACACTGTAAGTAAGGCTATTCATGTGAGACTATTAACACAGTATTGGAACAATGTGTAAGAGGCAATCATACATTTTAATATGGTGCTATAAGATGTTTCTATTTTAACAGTAGGTTTTATAGTTCAGTTAGCCTTGTTCTAGCATTACTTTAGTGATGGGTGATCCTTAAAAGGATTAAAGTTTGTGATCAGCGTGTATAAGCACCCAAATATTGGATGCTTAAAGGTATGTCTACACTGCAATCAGAAGATATGATTGCAGCACATGTAGTCCTGCCCTCCTAGGGCCCTGGGTACATACTCAAGTGGCTGCCACCCATGCTCCTGAAGTTTCACTGCTATTATTATTCAAGCTAGCTTTGCTATCTCAAGTATGTCTCATGTGCTGAAATCACACCTCCTGACTGCAGAAAAGAGACATCCTGAGATAACTGAATCTACGTAGTATCCCTATGTTCCATTCATCAACAGTTCCTGCAAAATTTTGTCCCTACCTCACCATAGCTCCTGAATCCCCACTACCTGAGTTTGTTTTCCTGGATGTCGTGAAGAAAAAGCTACAGGAATTTGTTACACCTTTCGTTATTTTCAAGGGGGAGCCTGGTGGACCATTCCCCACCCCTCACAAATTCACTGGGTACCTGAAAGACAGCCCTAGAGTTTTGCCACTGACTTTGAGGGGAGTAGCACTGGGCCCTAATCTAGCTTTTCTGCAAAACATCCAGGTCAGAAGGAATAAACAACCTACCACTTTAAGAAATCAGATTAAAAGCAATGAACACCACTGAAATATACCTAAAATAAATATAGCTAAAAAACCCCTACAGTAACAAGCTAGTGGGTACATACTTTCACAATGGAGGAAAGAATTTGTAGTCTGGCCACAGACTTCATTTGCAAACTGCAAAGGTATTGCTAAAATACAAACAATAAGCAAAGCACGATTTTTAAAATGATGGGAGCATCTTAAAAAAAGGCAAATGAAAGAAGTTCACAATGCTGCTATTCTATGCCATTTCCACAGCAACACATGTAATAAGGACTGTGATGTGAACTATTTCAATATGTGGGGGTGGGGAGAGTTCCAGAGAGCACTATGGCACCATATACTTACAAGGGCTGCAGCATGATAAGGTAGGATGCTTTGAATTTACAAGTACGTGTACCAAAAATGAAATATGAATACAGGCTAATTAACCCAATCAGAACTATTGCTTCCATGCTGCCATTGTCCTTCATAACAGATTCCACTCAGGTAACAGTCTCTTATTATCTGCTGTTGGACTGCTGCTGATAGCCCCACATTCTCCTTGCTCTGTATTTATGTTGCTGAATTATGGTGCAGTGATGCCACTTTCATCCTGCTAATATATTGCCTAACAACAAAGAAGGGATTAGCAAAACAGCTCCCAAGCAACCTCTGTAGGTTAAAATGGATGCAATCGCGTGGCTAAGATTTTTGCCTTTGAATTGTACACAGCTTCTATAGCTGGAGAAAGGTTAAAATGACCAAACAAATCATATCTAACATTCAGTCACTGAGAAATTTTAAAAAATATTCAATAGCCACTGTTTCAGTGTGGCTTACAAGACAATGTTTTGTACTCCCTCTGCTGGCTCTGGGGCAGTGGATAACTAACAAGGAATGTTCTCTAGTTTGGGCCGGGCTGCCAGATGCTGATTGTCTGGCATTCATCTAGAGACTTTGCTA